ACAGCTTGGGGGACTTCGGAAACCATTGAACTATAGTATCGAGTAGTGGCATTCGCGCGGCGGTTTCGAGTTTCGCGGAAGGGTTGAGTTTCGCGAGCCCCGACGATGATCTCGAAGTAAGCGAGAGGGTCACCGAATCTTCGACAGGTTCCGAACGTGGTCGAAGCAACGCGAGATCGATAGGGCGATAGCTCCATTGCAGGAGAACCACCGTCTGCTATAACCGCCATCGGGACCGTATAGGGAAAATATAAACCTACGAACATCGCATCGAGAGAGCGTCCCGAGAGCGACGGCCTTTCGGTCATCCGTCCTGAATGAGCTAAAATCTTCGTTCAGCATAGTATAAAGCTATTTGTGGCAATGATTCAGCCCGATTTGATTTTCTCCCCTTCCAGTGAACATTCAGCGTGGTATCCCCCCGGAGGCCCGTTCAGTCGAACGTTAGGTCGATGAAAGCCGACGTAAGGCGACCTCAACTCGATTGGCGATCTGACATAGTGACAGATAGACATAGAGAAAATAATCAAGAACACTCCACTCAAGTTCTTTTCGAAACCGGTAAGGAAATGAAGAAGCAAACAAACAAAGACTCACACCCTTTCAGGAGGAGAGTAGGCATCTTTTTGGCTAGGGCGCTCAAGGCATTTCGGATCACTGGAGCGGCCAGAATTAATTCGCCGAATGGGTGTCCATAGGCATGCCGACTATGAAAAGCTTTGTGAACCCTGAACCCTTCATTTTTCGAACAGGGGATTCCATATGATTCCACCATTCGCGTTCTTCCTCGCTCGATACTCACCGAGCCGAACATGGAGGCGCGGAGCGCCCTCACGGCTAGGTCTTCATCCATAGTATGTAGAGGAGCGGCCCTCACCATGGAAGGTAAACGGTAGGTAGGATCAGGGTGTGCCGAGCTCACACGATATTCTGTCTGTCGATCCAATTCGGAATGGAGAGACCGAGACCTCATTGTGGCAAGTTCCGAGCAATATCCGGTCTCTCAGATTCCCAGTATATTCTTTCTGTTTTGTTGGTCGCTTGACGGACCCTCCTGCCCACGATTGCGACTCTTCCATTCCAGTGTCGAAGAGGTGCGAATCCCGCAGCCCGTACGGTTTTCCTGAGACAGAAGTCGTGCAGTCTTCTGAACTTTGACTCTCCTACTAATGACTGGACTGTTTCCGCCGATTTCGACGGGGAAGAGCGTCTGATCAGACCGCGCGGTATTCCCTCGATCCCGGATGGCAGTCGGGGCAAGAGGTCTGATCATTGTCGGCCGCGGGATGATGGAGAGTTCTAGGACTTGGGATTTATGCATTCTGACAGAACTCCTTGGATCACTCGAGACATCCCGGAGCATCGCTTCCTTCATCAGGATGAGAAGTAGTCCACTTTTCCATGGTCTGGACACGTTTTGGTGGGCGGCAACGCCGCTCACCGGCGCCGACCCATAGGCCCGCTGGAGCCTTCCTATTCGGCACGGTTATCCTTTCCATTTCATGAGACATTGCTCGTTTCAATTTTGTGCCCCCGACTCAGGCGGGAGCTTCCGAGAGCATTTGCGTGATGCTTCGACCTGAGTGCTTGAAACGAGTCTGACTCCGAATCGCTCACCAAGTCCCGATGCTGTAGGAGGTTACATTCGCACAAATAACGGGAAGACGCATGTAGTCATTTCTATTTGGATTCCGCTCAGAGAAGATTTCTATGCACTCCTGAAAATTCTCCGAATTTCGATTCACATGGACTATTGCCTGTCTGCGCGCCTGGCTTCAGTTCCGCGTGCCCGAAGCAGGCTCTGTCATCGACCCCTGGGCTATGCGAATGTCCCTGCTCCTGAAAGCTTGAGCTCGGATTCCTCCCGCACCGCGGTTCGGAGAGCATTCATTCTGGTCAATTTTGTATATCATGAACTTTATATTAACTTTGACGAAGACTAGATAGCCTCGAGGACGATGTTTCGGATATTCAAGCTCTTACGGGTTCGTAACTTTTTTCGGAATTCTGAGGAACGAACACTCCATCTGAGTTCTTGATATTCGTTCGGCGGACAGGGGAATGTATCCTAGTATTGGAGCGATTTTATCCACGCCGAACGATGCAGTGTAGACAGCACCCCCACGGCCTGACGTTCCCGATGACACTCCGATGCTCTATAATGCAAGAATACCTCCACATCGATACCTCCTGCTTGTTTATTCTATACTGTCCGACTTCCACGTGACTATCTCCACGACAGATCAAAATTTAGAACTTGGGTCGCTCCTGTGGTAGAGAACTGTAGTCGCGGCTCGAGATAAACTTGTACTGCTTGTTCTCGTACTCTTGCCAAGGTTCCTGCAATGATCCGCTTATCTCAGAAAACTCTCGAATCTTCTCGCGAACAAGAATCAAGGCCATGTCTCTCGATATCGGGACGATTATAAATATGTATTCGAATCCCTAAGGGCCCTGGGCAGGGCATACGACTCGAGCTTCGAGCTTACCGCGTTCTTCTGCTTGTTCCAGGAAACGTCCGGGCTTTTCAGGGCCAAGCGGGCTGTGTAGAGGGCGGCACCACTACAACCGACGAACAGGCATGCCTGGTAGGAAGAGAAAGTGCCTCTGAGCCCCCCACTCAACTTCATATCCACGGTGTCTGTTCCTAGTCCATCGAAATGTATGCTGTTTCGCAGGTCGAGAACTTTCTGCTTGCGACGCAACGTCGTGTCGAAGGAGCGAAGCACCCGATCAAAGGAGAGTTTCCCACAAGACTTACCAGGAGCGGGATGAGCGAGGGATGTTGTTTCATCCCCGCAATACTCAAGCTTTTGAGTCCAAGAACCATCTTGAAGGTTTCAACTCGGGAAGCGAGATGAGAAGTGTTCCTGAGGTCACACAAATGTCTCCCGTCTCCCGTACACAGTGTGTCGGAATCTACGCCACCACCGTTGCGATTTACCACGGGAGCGCGCTCGAACGAAAAGCGCGTCGGAGGAGTTCTCGCCGATACGCCTCGTGAGGAGTTCTCTCAGATCGTTCGTCTCGTACGGAATCTGCATCCCTCATGAAAAGCTTGAGCTTCCTCTTCCATTCAGGAAGTGCTTTCCGAGACTATCTTTCTGAGACTCATTCGATGAGACGTCGCTGCGGGGCATCGTCGCAATACGCAATTTTCAATAGATCATCGGGGGCTGAAATTGAGGAGTCACATTCACGGTGGCGTCGCGAAGGGCATGTGAAACTCACCGGGCGCTCTCTCAGCCCGATTTTTAGGGCGCCATGTCCGCCTGTAGCAAGAGAAGAAAACCCAGGTGAAATCCGAACGCACAGACTGGACTTGAAGTTCGGGAAGTGCAATTTCTCGGGCGAGCCGAAATCCTCGAGATTCGCACCGGGCGCCACACACCCCGCCGCATACCTCGGCCACGGTTCGAGCACCGCTCTTAAATCAAGTCTGCCCTTATCATAGAGACTTCTCGAAACTTCCTCGAGGGAGCTCTTGCGGGGAAACGTCTACACGAATTCGATCATCGACAAGATGTAGGCTACTGCGCGATTCGACCATGAGTTCGATCTTGAAGAACGATGCGCTTCCGCGCCGTCGCGTCGTGTCGACATTCGAATCGGAGCTCCCCAGCTCCCCATAGTGCTGAGGAGAATGGAAAAGTCCGCTAGTCCCAGAATCGCATCCGGAACCTCGATTCATTCCGGAAGCGTCCCTAGGTTTTCGATCCCGGATGATTCGTGTTTGCATCATGGATATCCCGGGAAGAATCGCCGGGGGTGAGCAGGAAGCGGATAGATTCTCCGTTGCTCCTGATGCTCACTCACTCAGAGACTCAGAGAGAGTCGCTCGTCTCCGGTCTCGAATCCTCGCCTATGCGCTCGATCCGCTCCTCTCCACCGATTGGCGGACTCGTTGGACGACGCCATCGTTTATCTTTCAGTGTAGGAATGCCCCACTAGCAGAGGTAAAACTCTTCCTCTGCTCGGGCATCCGAGTCGACTTCCCTTTTCGGAATACACAACGCGGAAAATCTTTGGAGCTTGCCGCGTTTTCGCCGTCAGGCGCGTGATCGACAGCGCCCTCTGGACTGTTTTGCTTAGCTGTGCTGTCGTGACTTCTGCCTGCCAATTTTTAGTGAAACAGTGAGACACTTCGATACCCTAGGATTGGCTCTCTGACAACCGGTTCTCCGCATTACATTTCGTCCCAACGAGAAAAGGGAGTGCAAGCTCGAAACTCACGGGGCGCCACCCTGATCCATGGACTAGATCCACTGAATTTGTGCAGGCTGGTAATATTCTATCTAGAGTACATTAATTCTGCATGCGAACAGTAGAGATTCCGTCAATCAGTAGGCTCCTTTTGGAAACAGGGAGAATTTTCGTTCGTATCGTCCTCACCATGTCGACCTCGATTCAGCTCTTTAGACCCGTTCTGCGAATTCAAACTTAGACATATCCGCGTTCTGAAAAGCAAATAAGAAAGAGGTACCCAGTGATTCACTCTGTTGTTTCTCGGCCCACCAATAACAATGACGTATCGGACTTTCAAGATTAGATCTCAAGACTGTATGTACCCGTTGCGATCGTTCGGTGATTCAGTGCGTCTGTGGCACAAACCTGGAGAAAACTAGACTCTCGTGGAAAAGCATCCTGGCCAGATACTTTGATTAAGAAAGAGGATTCAATACCGACAGAAATAGAAGCTCCGTGAAATCAAGTTCAGAGTAAAGGGCGCCGTTGGCGACGCGTCTTGCACATTAGGACATCCTAGCTCTGGTCGGAACGTGCGCCGGCGCCGGTGGTGTCGAGGCATTTGACCGCTCTGGAGAGGAATTCTGGCCCCGAGAAGGAGATCAGTCGCGCTTGCGTTCCGAAAGTCCCTGCTGGAGCTGTCCCGTGCAGGAGAAGACATGAATTATGATCCAAGGGTTAAATCTAATTTCTCGAATCCATGGCGACGTTCCTCGATCTAATCATAGCCGTGTATAATTGGATCGGTACTCTTTAAATTCAATGAGCTTGACATAGCAAATCATCGAATTAACAGCCCAAGTGACGAGCAATAACGAATCGCTGGTGTACTCTCTTGCAGTGGCCTGATGGATGGATGACTAAAAGCGCAGAGACAATTCGATATTCTCCGATTCCACGAAATTTTCATGGAGACCAACAGCAGTTCTGGAAGTCTGCTCAATGTGAGTTGCGGTCATAAATTCGTAGCCTGAAAGCCTTCCCACGAGCTGTCAATTCGGCCTCGCTCGACCGTTTGAGCAGAGCCCATCATGAAATTGAACTTTACCTTCTGCGTTCCAGAAACGACTTCAGAAGGAATTGATGTCGATGCAGCGGGAGCCATCACCCGGTGTCTCTATCAATTCTCACACCTTGCACGGGAATAGTCTCTCACAGTACGTAGCCGAAGTTTCTGTGCTTATGATTATTTCATGAATCAGGACTCTACTGCAAAACCGCTTCACTACGAATCACTGTGTGAACGGAAATTTCGTAGCTTTCTCATGAAATCCCACTGTGATTCGAGTTTTTCAATATCGCTGCATCTAAGTTTCGTCTGACGAGGCTCTCAGAGCAAGTTCATCATCTGAAGTTTTTCGTTGTGCGGAATTTCGGTGCAACGAGGCTCGACTGCGCTAACCCTTCGGATCCCTGATCACTAAGCTTGTTTCCACTCCCCAGATGGATTATCGACATGGAAGGCGCTGAAGGAACATTGTACGAAGGCGAGAAGTTCCAACTACTCTTCAAATTCTCCTCGAAGTATCCCTTCGATTCTCCTGAGGTTAGGTCGAAGACACGCACCGTCAAGAACCTAAGGAGGAAATGTCACCCATCTCATGATGAGGAAGCGCCCAAACCGTGATGCGTCGGCGTCGTGAAGCTTTTATGACTTATTTCTGTTCTCCCACGACAGGTGACATTCGTAGGACCCAACATTCCCGTTAACCCTCATGTTTATTCCAACGGCCACATTTGCTTGTCCATTTTGACGGAAGACTGGTCTCCGGCTCTTTCGGTGCAAGCAGTATGCCTTTCCATAGTTTCAATGCTCTCATCATGCAAAGAAAAGGTGAGTCCTCCGCTCCGCCTCATTCTGCCAGCTAATACAGACTCGACCTGATACCGGAATCGGTTCTAATTTGGTATCACTCCTAGAAACGGCCGCCGGATAACACGCTCTACGTCAAGACGTGCAGCAAGAATCCGAAGAAAACCAAATGGTGGTATCACGGTGAGTACCATCAATCCTGGCTCAACGGCACAAATATTCATCGTGAGCCCTATCGGGACTTTCTCGATCCCTGTCAATCACTATGATATCAGCGTTTCAGGTTCTCATTCAGATTCCCATCCTCTATGTTTCAGATGATTCTGTGTAAGATCACGATAATACGCGAACATTGATCTCAGTTTGTAATTTCCATCAAGCAACCGACTTACTCCACATACCTCTGTGAACCAATCAATTGTCATCGGAGCAGGCACGCAAGAAATCTAGGAGGCGGGCCGCGTCAAGGGAGCAACTGCGTGGAGCCAATGATATGGAGACACCGAGAATAGTTTGAGTGTAACATGCGAATGCAAGTTCATGGTAGCACAGTGATGCAAAGCTTTGACCGATAAATATTGTTCCTGTCGTCATTGAATCGTGGGAAAGACGAGAAATATCATAGGTACCCGAAATATTTATTTTCCCTCTTCCGCGCATGTATTCAGGATCTATAGTGAGTTGATCCGCTGTGAGTCGATTCGAGGATCCTTCGCCTCTCAAGAGAGACGAGAGCTATTTCGGCCGATGTGAATGATTCCGCGCTCCGCTGTTTCGAAAGAGAATCGCATGGAGTTAGATAAGCATCGCTTTCTTGAGGGAGCATCATATTTTCTAGGTGATGACCCTCGCCGAGACAGATTTTGGGGATATCCCTTTGTATTGTCTCCCTTCCTAGCGGGGCCCCATTTCCTAAAGCACATAGTGACCCTCCATCGGTTCTCTCGAGCAGCGGTTTTCTAGTCAGTACCTCACCTCAGGAGATAGTTAGAGCGAATAACTATCGGTGAAATAGAAACTGTGACGGCACTGAAAATGGTCCGAAAGCTTTCCCCGCAAGTCGACAATGAACGAGAGAATGTCGGCGTGAATAGACTTTCAATAAAAGAAGGTGCTTGTACCACCAGCCTAGACGTTTCCATAAAGCTCACCCTCATACTTCATCCAAGCGTGACAGCTCAAGCGGAAGGTCGACGGGAGCGAGAAAATTCGCTGGCCCGTAAGTTCGACCTTGAAATCACGAGATCGCTGGAGGTTATGGCCTGCTTCAGATGGCGACTTCTACGATCAACTTCTCTGCGTTTCTCCGACCTTCCCCTTGGCTTCATTTTGGTCGAAAACAATGACCGCAATTGAAATATCGTCGCGATAATTCCTGCAAGGGAGTCATTAAGGACTGGGTAATCTTCGTCAAAATCGCGGTCCCCAACTAGAAGGGGGAGATTCCCCCAAATGCGTAACTATGAATTCGAACCTAGCTAGTTTTGCGGGCAACCCGAGATAAGCCGCTAATCTCGTGTGTTCCAAGCCGTATTCGGTACGACCGAGGGCGTTCCTGATCAGATGAGTGGCGGCGTTCGTATCCACCGGCTTATTGGAGAGATCTGCTAAGGAATAGGAGGAGCTGATTAATGGTCAGAGATCGGGAAGAAGACTGACCGAATAAGGGAATCGTCCCAGGAGCCTTGCAGCACCACCCTGATCTGGTCATTGATTCATTCATGCTACAATTCGATTGCCTGACCCGAGTGGACACACGATGAGCGAGAAAGAGAAAAACAGAGACGCTGACAATACGGACAGCAGGCGGCAACTCACCGCGTTTGCGTTTTGCGAGCAGATTCTGTATCGAGCCCAAGGTGACATTATCGTTCGATAGCCGCAGTAAATCTCGGGCTTGCGTTCCCTGCAAGAACTGTCCGATGAGCTGGACCACCTGCAGAAGGAAGCAGCGTTGAAGGTTTTCCTCAGAGTGAATTCTCGAAATCGTCCTCATTCCTCTCAAAGTGAGGAGTGCATCCAGGGCGAAATTACTTTTTGGCTGCTGAGCATCTCCCATAGTCCGTCACTAGCAAGGACTAGGAACTTGTCTCTGAAAATAGTACGAGAAAGGAACGTTTCATTTAAACATTCCATGGCGAGGGTTCCATCATCTCGATCAAAAGCTCGAGTTTGGGTCGGACATCTACCTCGGAGTTAGGATGTGATGAGATACCTCCGGTGTAGCCACCAGGTAAGGCGGCGTCAAATAATGATGCGGGATAACCCTGGTAAGGAAAGAGGGGCGAGGTCATTCGCTGCTCAGGATCGGTGAGAATAGGGTGGAGTTCAAAGTCATTGGAAGCCATCGGCCGAGTCGAACAATCATGAGGCTTGAATCCAAGATTCGAACGATCGGTAAACCTCAAAACGGGGCCGGCGCTCACTCCGAAGGATAAGAGCATACCTTTCGCCGTAGAGAGGCACGAGATGCTTGACGATATCCTCTCTCTTCCACTTGAAGGTGAAGTCTCCGAATGCGCGGAGCGGTGCGAGATTCCCCAGCAGACGTTCGCCCCTACAGGGAGAGAAGAGTCTTTGTCGATTTCGGTTCGGGCGGAGGAACATGCTCTCGGAGTCGGGCACGATGTACCTACTCGAACTGAAGCGACATATCTCGATTTCCGTTTCTCTTCTCCTATAGTTCCGGGCGCTCTTCCCACCCTCGGTTTACCGGTTCAAGGACCCTTGCTCGCTACGCGCATCGAATAGGAGCCGCATCCTGGCTTCGAACGCACTCTCCCCAAGTTGAGGGCTCTCCGCCTGAGCAACGAGTCTCTGAGGCGGACTTTGCAGGAATTTCGCTCGGCATACGGTAAAATGAGAACGCGACGGTGGCTGGAATCGCTACTTCTAACCATGGAGTTCAGCCGAGGAACGCTCGTGAAGGCGGGAAATCCTCAGCTGCATCGGAAGCGCTCACCTCTCCGAGCCTAGAGTGGGGCCGACCCCAAGAAACAGCACCGAAGAACGACCGCAATAAATTTAACCCAGCGTTCGTCTTTCTCCGATATTAGAGACCTCCGCTCCCGACGGATATGTAGTAACCAGACCTGATTATGCTGTTGATTTCTGACTTCGGGTGCTCGCCGAGAATCCTCTGGATTTCTTCCACATTCTCGCAGCTGTGCTCCTTGTTCAGGGCTCGGGCGACCCATCGCCCGGATTCGTCACAAATTCCTGTCGATTCGGATCATTAGGTCCTCTCCGAAACGGAAGCCCCTTCGCTTGCCCATCATGAAGCATCCAGATGAGTTTTTGACTCACCCAAGACGGCGCGGCAATCTCCGGTGGACGCTACATAGAGGTGTTGATCTGTTATGTGGGCGATCTGAAAAAGTTTAATGGCTCTATGCATCCCTAACTCGATATAAAGAGGTGGCAAAGACGAGCAACATGCATCGCAAACGGAATCCGGTTGGTATCGGGAGCTTCTTCCACTAGGCATAGCGAATTCCCATAGAACTCATATAATCTCTCGAATCCTTGGAACGGAAATCAGGCTCCTAATTACCGTGGCGACGCATCCCTGCGTTGCCAACGTCAATGCTTCCTCAGTTCCTGCGTCTTGGATTTCGCGGGAGACCTGCGAGGAAGAAGACCTTGTCGCAAGAGCTTGGAGGGGAATCGAGAGAAGCGAGTCTCGAAAATTGTACCGCCAATGCTCAGGGAAGGAGTATACCTCGTGATCCAAGAAATCGAACGATTCGCAGAGAAGCTCCGACGTCGTGAGCCGCTCCGTTGACTTAAGGATTTTTTCAGCGAACCTGTTTGTTTGGGAGTGAATAATCAGGACTTTCAGGGGAGAGAATAAGCAATAAGCGCGGATTAAGCCGACAGCTCACAGAGCCGGGATTCACTCATCGCAATGATTATTGACAGACCCTTGAGACTCTCGCAGCAACCCTAAGAATCGACGTTAGTGAGGAGCTCTGACAACTCTCGTTAGTACATTACCTCTGCAAACTCTTCAAATGACAACTATATTGCCAATCGGAGAGCTGGTCCAAAGAGAATATCCTTTCTATCAGGAGGGGCTTCTGTTTGCTCCGCACGTACTGTTCAAGAATCTCGTGGGGTGAGACAGAGAGGGCGAAGTAGTGCGGCAGTCTTTGTGAGATCACCTTCAAAATCACATGGTTCGATTAACGGTAGGTCATGAGGAAAGCGACGGCGAGCTGCCGTTTGAGGTTTGAGTCGTCAGGATTCCATGAGCAGGCTCCTCTTACTTGGGCCATCCGAGAACCACCGTGACCATCGAATACCCCAAAAGTGGCACCCGTAGTAAGTCTGTTGCGCGCGATCACAATCCTGCGAAATCGACCCGCCGGCTTTATGGATTATCTCTAACAGCAGAAGAAGGCTGGATTGGAATCAGCGCCGAAGCTCACCTGTCCTCGATAGGGTTGTTGGATGGCAATTGATTCAAGTCCACTTCATTGACGGAACCCTCTTGGAGATCGAAATGAGCTTCATTTTTCCGTAGAATATGCGTCACCTGAATAATCGGAGCCGATTTGATTCGAGATCGGGGTTGGCAGATTCAGAGAGGATGCCAACCGCGGAGGAAAGCTCATAATTTTCTCTGCGAGCTCGCTGATCATCCGGCGAAGAGCACCGTGAGCTTCAAGTATCAAGGACATTCAAATCGATAGAGGAAGGAATCGAAATGGATAGGTGGTCCCAGAGAGCTTTTCACTAATGATTCCCCCGATTTCCTCTCGCATGCAATGATTTAGAGTCACCTCAGGTGGTCCCAGTTTCGGTACGCCGAATGCATTGCTCAGCAGCCGGTGATGACCCCCATGATCACTTCTCGAAGATGCGCGCATCGAAGAGGTGAGTCCCAATGCGCGCATAGTCCTCATGGTCTTCATTATTCCGAGAGCTTCACGGATCTCTTGAAACAGCGGCGAGAGACATCCGTCCGAACACTGTTCTCCTGGGAATGAGTTCGGCTTCTCTCCTTCTTATGATCTCTCAATCGCTTGGTGGCATTTGGAGGACGGGTTCTCAACACCGTTACTCGGGTCTCTCGGGTCAGAGTAGAGAACACCGCTTCGATTTCGCATGGGCGCAGCCATATTGGATTCGTTCGGTTGATAGATCGATTGAGTCTCGAAGGAGCTTCCTCCTATGGTCAATTCCACCGGCAGACCTCGGGAGTATCCTCCTACACCCCTTTCTGCATCGGAAAATAGTTGACAGGCGCTCGGATCAAGGAAAAATCTTATCGAGCTGAGCGGACCGCGGGGATCGAGCGGCTGCATCCATCTGCCTGTTCATTCACACACAGACGTTCGCTTCGTCGTTCGTCGTTGTCGAAGAGGGGAGAGAAGAGAGAACCACCATTTTGGCCGGTGTGCGAGAATCGCAATTGGATGTGCTCGATGCACTTTGCAGGATATAACTTTTGAAGCGCCGTCCACAAGCTGGTGGGAGATCCAGGAAGCGCTCAAAACTCAGTTTTGCCAATTATCACACGGGACTTCGCCCATCTCGAGATTCTCGCGGTTCTTAAATTCACGTTTCAACATGATGGAAGTAGACGAACAACAAGAAGCATCCGGTGAGTGCAGAATCCCGCCGTGAGGTTTTCGTGACAGGAACTTCATTCGTCATTTGTGTCAATCAGCTGTGCTTTCGATGAGCTGACAAATCTCCGGGTCAATCATGCGTATGGGGTCTCCCTCCGGGAACTGGTCCGACTTGCTCAGACTCATCGACGACTTCGATTGCTGAGAGATTGGCTCATTCTCTGCAAGGATGAACAACTGGAGAAAAATCCAAAAATTGAGGAGTATCAGGAGCAATAAAGGATTTTCGGGTTCATGACATCCTCCGGTGTCCGCGTTTATCAGGCCTCCTGAACCCATTCGGACGCTTCAGCAGTGAGCTGGAATCAGAGAGCTTCCTTTCTTTCTTCTTCTCCAAATTCTCCCGGGGTTTGAACGGAAAATTCGTACTATCATTCCTTTCTGATTGAAGTCTCTTCCCGAACTATACATATACTCTCCATCAAGAAAGATGAGCGAGGGCTTCTTCTGCTGTCGACAGTCTCTGTACCTTGCGGATTCCATGGACGCGTAAAGAGGAACGATCTAGCAGACGTACAATGCGAGCTCGTGCTCGAATTCCAGCTATCTAAAACCAGACGGGAGATCCTCGGCATCAGCACCTGGATTTTCCGGATGATTTCATCCTCTCGACAATCGTTTCAGACGTCTCAGCAAACGGAGCAAAAAGCGGAGAGAAGAAGAGGTTCGAAGTGAAGAAGTGGTCCGCGGTCGCCCTCTGGGCTTGGGACATCGTTGTCGACAACTGTGCTATTTGCCGGAATCATATTATGGACCTCTGCATCGAGTGTCAAGCCAATCAGGTGTGACGGAATTTCCGCTCCTAAGATCACGAGTAGGAAATTTAGTGGAGCCGCGCAACCACTCATACCAATGACATTGTATTTCAGGCATCCGCGACGACTGACGAATGTACAGTCGCGTGGGGCGTTTGTAACCATGCGTTTCATTTCCACTGTATATCAAGGCAAGTTTCCCTTCCCCCGATTTTCGCACTCGAGTTCGATCGTTCCTTCTAAATCGTCTAATGGTCCTCCTCTTCAGATGGCTGAAGACTCGGCAGGTGTGTCCACTGGACAATCGCGAGTGGGAGTTCCAGAAGTACGGACACTGATGTGATCACAAATTCACAAGACCGGATGTAACGGATACAAACATCGATAGGGGGGAAAGAATGAAATAAAATACTAAATTCGAGCACGGCTCCGAATATTCCTGAGGCTAGCTGTCCGATTCTTTATTGAGCGATCCCATTAGAACGCCTGAGGGCATATTCATTTCGTAGCGCAGATGGGTTTCGGATTTGGCTCAGATGCACTCGGACAATTCCCCGAGATGGTCGTCTTCTCTCCTTCATGAATGGCGTGTGCTACTTCCGCGCTCGCCCTGCTCCTGATTGAGTGAAGGGTCTCTCACCGGCGATCGAGACAAACGATCAGTCTGATCTGGAAGATCAAAAGGAAGGAGGCGATCGGGCAACGCCGGATCTTACTGCATATGATTGGCCTCCATGTGCTTCGGAAGATTGGTCACCCGGACACCTAATGCGGTCCGCAGCTCATACACACCTATACGGTCGACCGAAGACCGTGCTTACTGTCTCCAGGGCATACCCGGTCGACATCAGCGAGGGCCAGACCGCTATGGCCACGATGGAGCGCCTCCCGGATGGCAGTCCCCCGTGGCCCAGCGGGAATCACGAGTCTTAGGATGACGACGAGGAACCTCCAGTAATAATCATGGAGCCTCAATACGATCGCGGACCGGGAGTCGAAAACCACTCATTGGATAACAAGAATAAATTCCGCATGGAGAACATCGCGAATCTCACAGCTCATCCTAGGAGCGGCATTCCCATAATCAGCGACGAAACTCACGATCGGGATTTTCGTCATTCGCGCGGAAACGACTCGTCGAATATCTCATTCAATCAAGGTACTCACTCACCCTGCAATGTCCTGGGTAGGAGGAATCTGCAGAGTGCGAATCTCTGGAGGGCAATCCCTTTCCAATGACCAAGCTTAAGATCATGGCACAACATCTCCTGAAACCCATGACGGGGTATTCGGACGATTCGTGGAACTCACCGAACTTTAGCTGATCCGAGAAGCAACATCGTCAATCGAGAATAACTCATGACTGGAAGAATACACTTCGAGACTTCACTCACGACGAGACCGTATCTAGGAGCACGATTCGTCATCGTGCTGTGAGGTTGAAGAACAGGAACCTTCCCTCGCCAAATACCGGATGGGAAATATTTTCATTCATAACACAGCCCGACAATTTTTTTTTGCCCAACAGAATGGGTGAGACCTAGGTTGGGATAAATGGAGGCCGTACATTCCGAATCTGTGAACAAATTTATCGTATCAGGTCTAGTTTTCCTGTAAAACCAATTTTTCGGATTTTCGTTATTTTTTCCCCCAAATTTTTTTTTTCCTGCTTCACGATGAGCAAGATCCATGAAAATTGGGGAACATTTAGACCCATCCGAGGTCTATCACTGGTTGAATTTTCGTGTAATTCGGAGCAACAGTCTCTGAGCCAGACGGGTTCGAAGGAGATCGTTTTTTTGTCAGCCCTTGGCAGAGAGGCTTGCCATCCGCCTTTTTCAGCCATTTTCGAACTTTGATGCACTCTAGCTCAGAGACTGTTGCTCTGAATTACACGAAAATTCAACCCGAGATAGACCTGGGATGGGTCTATATGTTCCCCAATTTTCATGGATCGTGCTCATCGTGAAGAAGGAAAAAAAAATTTTGAGGGGAAGAATAATGAAAATCCGAAAAATTGATTTTACAGAAAAACTGGACCTGATACGAGAAAACTGTTCACAGATTCGGAATGTACGGCCTCCATTTATCCCAACCTAGGTCTCACCTATTCTGTTGGGTTTTGGCTGTCGGGCAGTGTATAATAATTCGGAGTGAGCGAGATAGCTCCGGAGCTCTGGACGGATTGGAGCCTGGAGCTCCATTCAATCGCAGCCTGAAGGGAGAGGCTGCTTTCAGCGCGAGCTCTTGGCGAGTTTCCCGCGTTCTTCGAACGGGAGTAATTTTGCGCGGATGCGTTCATTCGCACGAGGTGCTGCTCTGTCATTTGGATAGAGAAACGCTCAAACAGATCGAGATAGATCGCGAAATGCAGTGAGATGCTCCAGATAGAATAGATTCTGCATATGCTGTTTCCACGGGGATATCTGACTACACTCGCAAAGGGCATCATCTGCAGTAGAAGTGAAGTTCCGCCAAGTTAGCGAATTCCCACTGGAACTCTTTTCCTCGAGTCGGGAGACGGGAGTACGCGCTCAGTGACAACAATGGGAGACGCAGTGAGTAGACACCGGGAGTTTCTCGACCGGGTTCTCGTCTTTTTACTGACAACCCGAGTCTCCTCGGGGGTCTTCGATGACAGAACTGGAGAGCCATCCGGGAAATACCCACCGTTGAGTCCCGAGCTCATTTTCGCACCTGCCAGATCGAGATTCGGAGGGGCATAATCTTTTCCGTCCCTTTCCTCAACGCTTTCCGTTTTCGGAAACTGAATTACTTGTTTTAGCCCTCAGATGAGTCCTTCTTTGGGAGGTTCTTGACGAAACTCCTAAGTGTCCTGCGCTGGGGTCAGTCGCCAGAATGTATTTTCTGCAAAATTGCGGCAGGTGAGTCGTCTTCCTCAAGAAGCGGAGAACAATGCGTTAAAGAGATAAGATTGGACCCACTAGGCCAACGAAGGCTAGACTAATTCGAGTAAGCGGAATGAAACCGAATCCACGGCAGCTGGTGGGAGAGCCGTTGATCCTGTTGGCCGTGATTGAGGAACACCTCCATTTTCAGGGAATGATCCGTCAGCTGAAATACATTACCACGACTCCAACTACGTGGTCATCACGGACATCGCACCTGCCTCGAAACATCATTACCTCGTGATTCCCAAAGAGCACATTAGGGATATGAAATGTTTAGACGATATGCATATCGAAATGGTCAATGACATGCTGAGGATTGGCAAACAGGTTGGTAGATAAGCCCTGTCTGCTTCTCATGTCCGGAAAAAGTTCGACGGTGACCCTCGACGAGCGAGCCCATTCTGAAGCATCATGTCGCGTCCGCGCCAATACGCCAATTTTTTCCAGGTACTCGAGTCCAGGGGAGGAAAATGGGAGCACTGCAGGAATGGCTTCCATAACCCGCCATTCATTTCGGTGAGCACCGATGATTTTCGCGGGGCTTGCCCTGTCGTCTATGACTCGAAATCCCCCGGCCCGTGCCTCTTGAAGGAAAGTTTTCCAAATTGTTCCAGGTATCGCATCTCCACATGCACATCATTTCACCGGAGTCTGAGATGTCGACGCGAATGGATCTTACGTTCAGGCCCGACTCCTATTGGTTCAAGACCACAGAAACCCTACTCGGAATACTCGATCGCATGAAACCTCCTGTGTCGCAAGTCCAGTCTCCGATCGACGAGTTGGGAGATTTGAGATGAAATTTCGGGACAGGCTACAAGAACATATACATATACAAACTCGTCCTTCGAGAGGGCCGTCCATTGGTGCCATTCTACATGAGCATATTCAAATGTCACAAGGTCCTTTGCTTCCAAACCCCATATACGATGCTCCTTCCTGGCGACACGCACGAACAAAAGTTGTCGGGAGCATGTGCCTCCAAATGGCTTTTTACTGATTCTAGTATATGACCTGCATATGATCATATGATTTCCGAGCGAATAAATTTAGGAGATGTGTTTCGATTTTCAGTATTACCCTTCTCTCTTCGACACAGGAATGAGGAAAAGTCCCCTTGGGATCGTAAAATCCGGGAGGGGTATCGCGTTAGCGAAGTCGGAGGGAATTAATCTAATGCCTCGGATCTTTCCGGTATCCAGCCAAGAAGATTGGAGCTCGATTTCCACAGGAGACCTCCGAGCATTTTTTTTTATTCAGGGTAGCGACGAAAGATAGTCCTAACTTCAATTATATCGCGGTATGCTGAAGGTCATCGCTTGACGAACTCTCACTTTGCAGTCTGCAACATGGGCTATGAGCAGGGTGGCATCGCCGGCTTCGAGGGATAGCTTGATGAGGTCGCTTATGTTCAAAACACTCTCAGCTTTCAATTTCACGACACGATAATCCGGTGTACAGGGTTTCGTTTTCGAGTAGGCAGAGTCGATATATACATCAAAAATGATCTTTGGCGAATTCGCCGAGCGCGAGACAGCCTCGCCATCTCCTATACAAGAATTTACACTATGATCCGCGATATTCCTCCCATGCTCGTTCATTTCCTCTATGCGTTTCCTCAGGTCGAAGCTCTCGCTTATCTCTTGCGTCAATTGAAGTTCTTCGAAAATCAATTGCGTTTGGTTCTTTTTCGTTCCGGTCATCAGGGGGGTGGTCGTGCCCTTATAGAGACCATGATCCTGCAAGAAGACATTCAGATTCAATCTCACATGAAAACACAGTATTGAGAATGATATTGAGCGAGATGAATATCAGAAATTCGTTATACTTGCCTCCTCGTTGTTTTGAGACTCCTTGACAAGCTTGGCGAAAACATTCTTGTACTCCGACCACGATTCGGCAGTCTGAATCTTCGGGATCCCGTCAGCAGTGAATTTGTGAAGAGTATCAACAATTGAAGTTGAGTGCACACCGAGTTCGATCCCATCAAACCATCGGGGAAACCATCGTCGATTATAACGCTGGTGATCGGGAGTCAGAGATAAGAGTCTGTATCTGAGAAGCGTCGCCGGCGCGCACAGTACACTGTCGATCAGCACGTGCGGTCGAATCTCATGTTGAGCTTGCACTCACCTCGCGGATCTCATCGTTTGCTTGCGGCATACATCCAGGATGGGTAGCTCCATCGTTTTGAGGAGATACTTTGAGCTGCAATTCCGTACAGACGGTCAAGACCACTGTCAGGGACATCGCTAATTCGAAGTCAGTGTATCCTCCGGCCACGAAACTGCGGGAGCTGGAGTGTTCACAAGACATACCTTCTTTTTCTTCTGGGAGATTCTCGGCGCAGCTTTTCGCTTGCGGCCACGTTTGACGGGCGCCTTATCTTCAGGGACCTATGGAGTAGAATCTCGAATGAGTGAATGACTTGGAATTTTCAATCAGATCCCCAGAGCCATGGGTCCGAGAGGAAAAATATCGCATCGGGCTCTTACTGCGGATTGTACCCTCGATGGTCCTTACCGGTTCCTTGTCCTCCATGCCCTCAGGCGTGAACCATTGGGGATAAAGGGATATGTTGTTTACGAATAGCGGAATCCTAGAATGAGAACCGAGTTCTATGAGACATTCGGGTTCCCCGCTCACAGGAACGCTGCATGGACGTAGCTGAACGCACCTTTCATTTAATCTACCGTTTTGAGCATATTCTGAGCTGACGGTTTTGCATTCCGGCAGCAGTTCTCGCGGAATCGCAGGCAGAGCTGCATTTTTCATCGAAACTCCGAGCGCGGGGAAGGTGATTTCCGGACCCTTAAGGAGAGACATGCTTTTTTGAAAAAGTATTTTCTTTCGCTCTTCTTCTCGTTTCTTGGAATGACGTGCTCCTTCTCAATACGAAACATCGCGATAGAAGCTAACGAATACCGTTCGCTCACCTCATATGGAACATTCTGCTCGTAAGTCAGAGCAACTTCGGGCATACTGCAGGAAAGCACCTGGGGAGAGCGCAGCAAAAAGTTACCGAATGTCAATCACCTGTCTATCCCGGAAACTAAGGCGATAGGCAGGACTTACTTCAAGGTCGGAATCGGAATCATCTTTTTTATATGCCGAGAAGGCAGATGTTTTCGGCGGTGGCGGCGCGCTGTGAGCTGGAGGTATCTGAGTGGAGCTCTTCGGCTTGGCGGACTGGGAACCTGAAATTAGATCGTGTCTGTAGTTCCCTCGAGGAAATGAGAATAATTTCGAACGAATTGATGACCGCAGTCACACCGATAGGGATAGGGATCGATACTCACCATCGGCGGCGAGCGTGCGTTTCGGCGGTCTGAAGGGAGCCACGATCGCACCACAGTTCATTAGATATTCATAAATTAAATAAACCTCATAATCTTCCGGATCGCGAGCTAAAATATTGCAGGCCTCGAAAACCGACATTGGTGTCAGATCCGGTAAAAGTAGTCGGAGTTTGACGCGCGTCATCAAAAATCTGCGAGACAAACGTTGTGCTTTAGCCGGGTGTCGAAACCAAGGGCGAGTCCTTTAATGACTCCCACGGCTACGATACGTACAACGCCTCGTAGAACTCCAGGAAGGTCGGGTTTCCGGCGGATCCTATCGTTTCCATTTGTTTCCCTCGCCGCTGGGTCACCTGGATTCGGAAAAATGCCTCACTCCTGATGCTGGCGACCTTAGCAAGAATAAGAATGTTCGCTTTCGTTATCCGATGCTGGAACTCGAGCGCCCGCCAAGTCGAATTACCTCCGCCCTCCGTGTGCCCGGCCTCCAGATGGCTTCAGAGATGGTCGAAATCTGATACCGTTTCAGAGCGCTTACCGTCGGAGACTCAGGATCGTACCTGAACGAATGGAAAACAGGGTTGAGGCGCAGGGCTGCCGCGATTTGGACATGTGTAGAGATAAAATCGTAACGAGCAACTCACTTCGACATTTTCTTAGAGCCCGAAGATTCTTGTTTTTGCAAACTTCCATCATTATTCCCTTTAGCTCCGGGACTTTTCGAGCAGACTTCCGAGGCACCTGGGAAGTTGGCAAGGATTTTGCGGTTGCTGTCGAGACTCACCTGAAAGGATCGAATTGGGACGGTCGAGTCATAAGAATCATGCAGATCGGTGCTCGGAACTTTCTGAGTGAGAGGGGGATAGCCAGCTCGATTTCTGCCAACCCACCAGCACGGGAGTCAGATCTTCCACCAAGGGCAATTTTCTCTGGATGGCCTCCTGTATAAGGCCGACGTCCGGACTACCCAATGTCTCCTGCGATGTGTCGTCAGTGTTGTACTCCGGAATATGCGGTCGAATTCCTTCCATCGAGGGAATGACTGGATGATTCGCTTGGAGGAACTCCGGGTCCTAGGAGGAATTAGCAGGAGGACGTAGAAAACGTACTGAACATTGCATAGGAGTCGGATGGGGATCGACGCCAACACGCTTGCTCACCCTAAACAAGAACCTCGGAGTGAAGCTCTGGTCGTTAAAATCGAAAAATGGGCTGCTGGAGGGATCTGACGTCAAGGGGCTGCTGGAATATTGAAATGCATCATTGATACGTGACGCTCGATTCTCCCTCCAATGATTTGGAATAATACGAAGGTTGACTGCTAATGATTGTCGAGACCGAGCCTACCTTGAGCTAGTGTAGGACGTCGGGAGGGAACTGTCCGACGATGTTTCTTCGTCATCAGAACTGACAACTATGACTTCTTCCACCCGCGGGGGATTTACGACGAGGTCATCGAGCTGGAGTGCGAAATCAGAGAATGGAATTCAAGTCATGTTGTGCTCCTATCATCGGGAAGCGGCTCATTTGAGCTGAGCTTCATGTTGGAGACTCCGACCGGAGCTCGAACCGGACTCGAAATTCCAGAGACAATTACCATGTACTGTGGGGCCTGTATTTCAATAAGGTTTTCGACGGAGGAGTCTTCCCCGGTCTCCGTGTCACTGTCATCGCTGACTGGGGTCCAACGACCCGCCATTCTTCGATCCTAGGCGGTTCCGATGCACTGCTCTGGAGGGATCGATGGTTTTGAGAAGTGAGACTCGTCATGGGGGGCTCCCTGGCTGAGTTGACAACTCTCTAAACGACTCGGGAACGATCTCATACGGTCGGAGCCGAAATCGAACGAATCACTCTGTGGGTGAGCTCTACCCCACATGCATCTTCTGTTTTGAACGGAGTCCGTGATAGGGCTCGCCATCGGCGCCGCCAGACACATCTTCGTTCCGAAACTCAATACCGCTAAGCCCCCGCCAATCCACTCCGGAACTCATCCACATGATAGCTCACGTCATAGGAAGCATGTAGACAGGGTTCCCTTCACCGAATTTTCGCAGGGAAATCGTTCCGCGTAGCGTCCGCGCGACAAGTCGCCGGAGCGGCGCTGTTACGACTGCTTGGTGCCCGCCGACCTGGCGGGAGAGAGCACTCTGGAGGTCTGCGCTGCCAGAACTCCAAGAGGATGCCTGAATGGAGGAACCGGCATCCTTCGGTAAGGGGTGCAGAGGAGTCGAGAGAACTTCGATGAGGAAAAGTGAGGCACCGAAGATCCCCGGGGGGCTAAACGCATCAATAGCGGACGGGTGGTGAATTTAGAGGTCGATTGTGATCAAGTCCGGTCGGGGAGCAACAAGATGGATGTTCCTCATTTTGTTCATTGGATGACACTTTGGGCTCATCCTCCTGGATCCCGTGCTTCCTGGACAGGCAGGAATTTTTGTGGAGCTGACGTTTTCCTCGATCCTCAGGTCGCTCCCCGAAACCCTGTACCCCCGCACCAATGAATGTCTACCAGAATTCCCGGTCGGAAGCTTTAGAAACCTCATATATGATCGACATGTTGATCCATCGGATCGAGAGACGACCGATCAATAGTCGAGGAACTTCTTCTGAAGATGCGGAAGATTCTTCTTCTCCGCATAATTGAAGAATGCTCCGAGGCGTGCTGATGCGCTCGATTCGCTTCCATTGAGAAGAATCACATGTAGTGTTTCCAGCCATGTCTTCTCCTCATGGGAAGGGCGGGTGTCCGCTTCGGACCCGCGATTCATGCCGGGGAACATACACAGGCGGGTCTGAATTTCCTCTCCCCATCTTCCTGTCGAAGTGAGGCTTCGAGCTGGGACCTGGGACTGGACTTCCCCGGAGGGTCCCTCTTGGGTGCCGGTCCGTTAGATCGAAAGCCATTTGGGTCAAACCGAAACCTGTATTTCGTTCCATGACCAAAAACTGCAAGGATCACGAGCTGCATCGAGAAAACCTCGAAGTCCGCTGGAGGAGCTCGTGCGAGTTCGATAGAGACAGCCAGAAATTCTCCGGCTCGAACCGATTCAGACGGGCGCTCAAACGGCTCGCGCCCAGATTGACCGGTGCCCGAACGGCCGCTAAAACTGGCTGCACCGAAGTTTGTCAGTGCGTGTCCCCCCCATTCGCTCTCGGAGCTGTCGTTTCGGACATGCGGCACTCGTCCCCCCTGCGGGAATCAATTCTTTCATCTTCATTCTTTCCTCGGTATAAGCGACGATTGAAAGATGAAGTGAATGGATGCCCTCGCCGGGTTCTGTATTCCACCCGTACAAGCCTATGAGCCTCCGGATCCTGTTCCTGATGAACATCGTGGACTTGGCTGTATTTCGCTCGAGTATATCAACCGCATGCGACTCTATCGCCCGGATCACTTCAGCACACAGCTCGTGGCTGTTGCTGATTGGATCCTCCGATCGTCTGAACGATTTCTCGTGAAACGGCATAAAAGGAATTATCGATTTGACCCATTCCGACCTGTCTCATCAGGCGGCAGTCGAGAGGAAATCACTATCCCTCCGCATCGCCGAACACAGCGACAGCTGCGGGACTTTTTGGTACCCGAAACCGAGCGATTTTGAGATTTCCTCATCAAATTAGAGAAAAGATGCAAAATCACTCCGAGCTTTTCGGCCACCGAATCAAGAATTTTTAGCTCTGTAAACAAATAGAGACATAAGGCTTTATTTAGAACTTCAATCTTCTCCTTCGTCTGAGTCGTCTTCCATCGCTTGTCGCGCGAACGCTTCGGCTTCGTCATGGAGCTGGAAAAGCACGAGAGAAGTGAGTACAAGGAATTATTCTGAGCGAAACGACACCCGTGAGCCAATTAATACGTCAGAGGAGACACTCACTGCTTCGGGAACCGCTTGGTGGAGACCATTGGACTCTTCGCACACCCAGCTGAGCTCAAGCTCGAAATCCTTGTCCTTGACTTCGTCGTGGACGATGTGAATTATTTTCGCAGCTTCCTTAACCAGCTCACGGCAAGTGAGGGTGGATAACTTCAGTTTCTCCATTTCGGTTTTCGCAGTCTGCTTAGCTTTGCCGATAGCACAACCGAAGTAGCTGCGGAGACGGAAGTCGTTTTTTTTTAGTTTTGGGATCGAACTTGTAGGATGTTTCCCAAAACCGGTTTATTCCTGGGGCATAGGAAACCTCGATGTGGTTAATCTTACCCGTAGCAGGTACCGGACGGTTCAACGCAGTATAACTTGCTCCCTTCAGACTTGTTGTACGTGCCCATGAGCACACTCGCTCCGTAGGGTCGGATGGCCGAATACAGTGTGTATGCGTGAACGTAGAGAGCCACTTGGTCCTTCAGATAACTAATGGGGACGGGACATCCGTACTCGTTCCTGCAGAGAAGGAATGTTCTCAGACACCGTCTCTCTTCATCCCTCCTTACGGGAGCGTACGAGTGGAAACTCACTGACCTGTAATTGGCAGCTTCTTTTGCGGCTGTCTCGATCATCTGCTTCGCATCCGCGAGCAAGCCAGCGACGGCGCAACCGACATGACGGTCGACAGTGAAAATCCTTTTATTCGAACCCTGCGATGAGGAAGGTTATCGGTTATGACGGAGTCGCCCGGAATGTAACTTCAGCTTTGAAGTCTACTCCTGAACATCCTCAGCGGTTTTCCTCCCAGCCTATTCACGGACTGCCAACTCATACTCATAGGGTAGCTTGTATTTGGCGAAGTAACCTTTTCGTAGAGTTTCGATGTGACGAGCTTTTCCACCGCGAAAACCACTCCGTCTTTCCCTCGGAGAGCGATTGCGGTTCCGGAGTTTTCGACGGCCTTCAGTGCGTATTCGATTTGGAAAACTCTACCATCGGGTGAAAACTGTGACGCTGACAGGTCATAGCCGGTACCGATCGAAGTCATGCTGAAACGTTGATCATGGATTCGTTAATTACCTCTGAGGAGCCGGCACAGTATTGTTGTCAAAGCCTCCGAATTTCTCACATGTCTCCTCTAACAGCGAAGCATCGGCTGCGACGGAGATTATCCAGAGAATAAGCTCACTCCTCAGTCTAAAAGGATACGTGAAGCTATTTCACATACTTGCTCTGTTTCCAATTATCCCGCAAGGCTCAGTCGGCTCAGTAGCTCTTGCTCAAATCTTTGTTGCCGAGTCACATAACATTCGCAGACGACGTCGTGCCGAGTAAGCAGCACGAGCAGGCGGCAGCTCTTCGTCAAAATGGAGGCTCTCGTGTTTTCTTGCCACCATCGTCCCGCTGCTCGCCGATTGCAAGAGCCATCGCGAGTTCTTTAGTTCAGCCAGAAGAATCTGATTCTTGCGTCCGAGAAATCTAGCACGCTCGGCGTTCATCGCTTTGTACAACAAAAATAAATTTTCCGGGTTATACCCCATCATGATCCCTCTGCGCGCCATTTGACAGCCCAGAAGTCAACATTGATGGATGCATTCCTCTTTGTCTTTCGTGAGCGGGCGGTGGGAGAGGCGACGGAGCAGAGCGGCCGCGGCGCCATCAGCGAGCACGAGCCACCCGCGGTACACAGGCGACTCGGTATCGTGAAACACAGGATCGGAGGCGATTTTCCCCGTCAGAGCGCTAAAACCGTGAGCCGTCGCGGCGGTTTCCGTCGAGAGGCATAACACCTCGCTTGCGACTCCTTCGAATGAATATCGCGGCAAATAATTAGCTCCTCGCGGATTCGAATTCCGCAGAAGGCGAAGGCAAGCAAGATCTTCTTCTTCCCCAACATCACTGTCGCATTCTAGCATCTCCGGAGAGATATCTTCGGTTTTCCCCTTGGTCTCGATGAATGGTTAGCTCCGTGAACCCTGTACCCCGTCGAAGTCGTTCGCACCCGCGCCTTAGCGCAACGCCTATCCTACTTTTATCGCTGCTCGGCGAGCGCGAATGAAGCATGAGAGAGTCAAGGAATGAGGGATCTCATCGATCGAGTTGTGCAATCGCAGGCCTTCGTGGGGTTAGGCTCTCGAGGGGGGAGAAAAGAGACCACGGAGAAAGCAAACGAAGGAACGACGGGAAAACGAGTGGCGTGAACGGGAGGAGAGGTTGGAGGACGAGTGAAAGATACGAGGAAGCAACGGAAAACGAAAATGAGAGGAGAGGGATGATGGAGGAAAACTAGGGCATCGCAAGGAACGGGTTGACCGACAGAAACGGGAAAATAGAGAAAAACGGCGGTTTCTGTCTGGCTTATTGGTGTCTTGCGCAGCGGAACAGCTACTGAAAGTTGGAGTTTTGGAAGAAAGGGCATGGATGGATGATTTGAACGCTCTCCGTGCGCAAAGACAGCTCAGTCAGATTCGACTTCGATATCTCCCTCGAGCATGAATCAGGACGCTCCATGACCGAGAACCTCTCACAATTGTAATTAGAGATATAGCTCGTGGGAGCCGTCCGACTGGATTTCGCCTCGCCCCAACCCTCTAGCGACATCTTGAAGGCGGGAGTCTAGCCCTACAGAGGCCTGCGATCGCACAACTCGATCGATGAGATCCCTCATTCCCTTCCGCATCCACGCTTCACGGTTTAAGCGCTCTGACGGGGAAAACCGCCTCCGATCCTGTGTTTCGGGATACCGAGTCGCTGTGTGGACCGCGGGTGTCTCGTGTTCGCTGATGGCGCCGCGGTCGCTCTGCTCCGTCGACTTCCTAATCGTGAGCGCCCGCTCATGAAGGACAAAGAGGAACGCATCCATCAATGTTGACATTTGGGCGGTCAAATGGCGCAGACCAGTCTCAAGATTGGCGCGTCATCTTCGGGACCTGTGGCGCTGCAATCTTGTCTGTTACAAGGTTCTGAAAGGAAATTTTCAGTTGAAACCTCGCCGACTCATTCCGGATGGGATCGAGAATCAATTCCTCCAGTATCGAAATATCGCAGTCCCCCGTCGCGGGCGCTACCCTCCCGTCCGGTACGACGGAACGGTGAAGCGTGTGGGGGCGTTTGAAAATTGGCGCGCCGATTTCGTCGGAGCTAGATCTGTTTTCACGTCCAAGCAGCATTTGCAGTCGCAGCTTGGCAGTGGCAGCTAAAGGGTTATTTTGTAAAATAAAATCAGCGATAACCAGTAAGCTATAACTGCCCTGCGCATTCAGTTAGTGATTCGGCGGCGAGTGCGCGTATGCCCGCACTCTGCTCAGGTGTTCATCACCCAAACTAAGACTATGATAGTTGCTGGGGTCTTGTTCCTTAGCAGCAGCAGTAGCAGCGACAACAGTCATGAAGATTGAACGGGCTAAACTCAAAAAAGGTGCTTCTGAAGTGGTAAGTTGAGCACAGAGGCCGATTTCGCCTTGATGTCCGAGTTTCGACACGTACGTACTCGGGTCGTTGGACCGGGATTCAAACCTGTCGATATGTTTCTGATTTTCTCGACATGCATTACGACACTTCATGGGCTCTCTCGCACGCACACAGACACCACACCGGTTGCCACCTGCTCGAAACCCGTTGAGCATTTTTCTGAATCGGATGAATGAGGAGGAAGTTTTCGGTTGATTCTCGGCAATATCTCCGCGAGCCCTTCACATGAAGGTTAGGCGGTCTCGCCGCCGACCTGAGCACTCGCACACGTTTCTCGAATCCAAAGGCGTAGTAGGAAACGCTTGCGGGGCGGTCTTTCCGGCGGTAATCGGTGCTCCAGCGAGCTCGAAGAGAGAGATAGATCTCAAATACGGCGTAGAACAGGCTTTCCATCTCAGCAATTCGACTCCATTCGGTTTTCGCGTGCGAGCGACCGACTGAGCGAGCGACCTGCGATCTACGGACTACTTCTACCGAATATCGAATATTTCTCACAAACATCTCAGTATACGCCATCTCGAATTATCCCCATTGGTATTTATTGCGAAGTCTGTGCTGAAGTCCGAGCCGCAATAATGTCGCGAGTCGATTGTGATTCCCCTCTTCATACCTGTGTATGAGCACCGACTCGATCGTTCTGGAGTTATCCTCATGAGTCAGCTTTCGAAAGCGCCGATGACGGGATGGAGAAACTCATAATTTCCATGTTGCTCCGGGAGAAACAGGCATTATTGTTTATTTAGATTTAGATTAGATTCTGATCCCTGCTGAGTGCGTGGCGACGGTTTTTCCTCTTCAATCCGGCACTATTATCTCGCTGTAGACGCTCATATCTCGGAGCTGCGCCTCCTCAGTCTCGGACTCCGGGAGGTGGGGACCTCCATCGAGGTCGCTTTTTATTGAACGAACAATTTCAATTTCAGCCGCAAGACTGCAAAGTTCTCATCGAACGTTTGAAATCTTGCTCCGAAGCTGATCTCTATCATGAGCTTTGTTCGATCCGAGTTTGGAATTGGGGAAAGGTGAGGAGATCCGCCATTTTCCCTCAGGTGAAGTGGATTCTTTCCGTTAGTCAAACTATTCCAATGTATTATAACATTTCATTTTTTTCGGAATAGTGTGAGCTCTTTCACTGGATCGACGTACTCGACTTGTTCGATGGCTATCTTGCGGAGGCTTGCGGTTCCGATGGGAACGCATGGGTGCTCCCATGTGATTTGGAGGAGAATAAACACCGTCGGAAACTCCTCTTGGCCATCCTGCAGTTCACGGGTAAGTTTCGGCCTGGAGCCGAGCCTCTACACGACCAGTGATCGCAGAAGCTTCTCATGCGCTCATCGATATCCGTTTTGCAGCTCTTCTGATCGAACACAGCTTCTCGCGGCATCTGTACAACTCGATGGAGTATCTAACTCAGTTGCTGTCCTCCTCCGACATGCAAACGGTCCTCGATGTACTGAATCTTCTTTACGTGTTCAGCAAGCGGAGTAACTTCATCACGAGATTGTGCGCCGAAAGGTAGGCTGACAGATCTCTCGGTATGACACGGAGGACGTGGATCTCCGCCGGTGAGATCGGTGTGCTCTTCGTTCCGCTCACTAAATCGAATTCTTGATGGAAAATCCGAATGCTCCCCAGGCGTCAATACCTGCTCGATCGATTGACACATCTGGCGGACAACTGGGGTGGCAAGGAGAACGGTTTCGGTCTTGCGGAGTGCTGCCGTCCCGCACCGATTGCCAGTTTTCCGAGGAGTGCCACAACCCTGCACTTTGAATATCACGTGGAACCGGCCAGCGCTAAATGGTAAGAATTCGAATCCCTCTCATGAGGTTTGGGCTACCCCATCCCCCAAAGACGAACATCCGGAGCGCTCCAGAGGAGCTCGAAATTCCAAATCCGAGAAAAAATGCCGACCATTCTAAGCCGCATTTCCCACAGCGCCGTCGTGGGCACCATCCACCGAGAACAAGTGCACACGCTGGGTCCCTCAGCCGGTCACATCATGGCACAACTCCTTCAAGCGTACCCCGACGTACCGGAAAACAAGCGAATGCTCCTCTTCACGCATCTTCGTTTGGCTCATTGCTTTGCGTCGTACGACCGCAGGCTGCAGTGCGTCCAGGCGCGCCTTCAGTCGTTGAGCATTCTCGTTTACTGTTCCGCCATCCAGGACAACTTGAATTCGCTCCTGTACAACGGACTCATCGAAGAACTCGTTGACGTGCTGGAGCTGCAGTTGACTGACCAGAGTGGGAGCCACGATGAATCACTGATCGAGATCAAAGCCGCTGCCTTGCGCACTTTGACAGCTATCATACATTTGGACGGCAATCCGAAACTGCAAGCCATCATAACGACTACCGGAGCTACATCGTATCATGGATTCCTGCCGTCTCTCGTGAGATCATGCATCGAACGACTCACAGCTGCCGGCAGACAACGAGAAGCTGGAGGCTCGCAGAGCCCGGGCATGCCCAACCTTGCTTTTGCAACTGCGCTCTTCTCCTTTCTATATCATTTGGCCAGCTACGAAAGTGGGTGTAAGTGTCTTCCCTCATAAAATGCTCGTAATATTTTGTAATTACGTTCTTGATATATTTTCTTATGATTTATTTATATAAAAACATGCTGAATAATAGAACTTCGCTTCCGGTTCCGGTGACGATGTACAACGTACGGACACGTGAGCGGCGACGAGACTCATGGAGCGCTTCCCGTTTCAGGCGAGGCCTTGGTAGCGTGCGGCATGGTTCAGTCTCTACTCAAGGTCATTGAGTGGCCCGGATGTGAACCGGAACACGTCACGTTTGTGACCCGGGCTGTTAGAGTTATTGATCTCATAACAGGTCTGGATATGTCGGCTTTCCAGTCCAATGGAGGTTTGGCGATCTTCATCCGCCGCTTGGAGCAGGAAGTCGATATCTGCCGACTTGAGCAACCAAATGTCATCCTGTAAGCTTCCTCTTCATCGACGACAGTCAATCGTTTCCCTAATTTCCGAGAAACATGCCTGCCCGTGATGGGCAGCTGGAGTGCTCAACTTCGAAGGAAGAAAAAGGAGCGTTGGAGGTCGCTGCGCCGGTATGCGGCGATTCGATTTCTAAGAGAATTCTTCGAACTTCCAGGTCTGGATCGGATATGGAGGAGAGCGGGCCCTCTTCCGCGCACTCATTCGAAGACAGTTCGTCGTCGCTCGTCGCGACCGGTTCCCCCAAAGGACCTACCGGACCCGGACCGTCGACGTCTTATTCAACGAACTCCAATTTCAACGGGAATAATCAATGTTATCCACAAAGAGCCGCGCTGCTCAAATCAATGCTGAATTTCCTGAAAAAAGTGAGCTAACTCCCTCTTCGTAGCTCTCCGAGCGATCCCATCCGTTCGGGACGTGGAGAGGACACGCTCGGAGGCCGTGCATGTCCTTTCGTAGCTTCAAGAGCAGTCGGCTGAGCTCCTCGATGTTTTTTTTCAGGTGATAAACGACAACTCACAAAACTCTGAATCCAATCGCCACATGATGGACGGTTCACTACCCAGGTCCCTCCAACACATCATCTCGAACTGCGAATACTACGGCGCGTCTCTGTTCCTTCTGGCGACCGACGTGGTCACGGTTTACGTGTTCCAAGAACCTTCGCTGTTGTCGTCACTCCAAGACAAAGGTCTCACCGATGTGGTACTGCACGCACTTCTCGTTAAGGAGGTCCCCGCAACGAGGGAAGTTCTCGCCTCCTTACCGAACGTATTCACCGCCCTCTGTCTCAACACTCGCGGTCTCGAGGCGTTCATGGAGTGCAATCCATTCGAGAAGATCCTGCGGGTCCTTGTGACGCCGGAGTACTTGGGCGCTATGCGACGACGCCGGAGCTCGGAGCCCCTGGGCGACACGGCGTCGAACCTCGGCAACTCGATGGACGAGCTCATGAGACATCAGCCGTCGCTCCGAGCCCCGGCGATGGCCGCGATCGTCAACCTACTGAACGAACTATGTGCAATGGGCTCAGATCCTAAATACGTTTGCTTGAAAGTTCAGGGAAGTAAGACATCGGGTTCGAACGGGAACGGGGGAAGCCCGGGCACCGAGGGCGGATCCGATAACAAGAACACTGTGATCGAGGTTTCCTCTGAGAGCGATGACGACGAAGACGGCGAGGACCGAGAGAGTCCAGAGAGCCGGCAGTCGCAAACTGCGAGCGGCAGCGCTTCGAACGACGGCGTCTCGGGCTCGAAAATGCAAAATCCAGCCACGAAAAGCTCCGACACCAAGACTCAAGTACCTCTTGTGGACTACATCCTCAACGTGATGAAGTTCGTCGACGCCATCCTGTCGAACAACTCGACAGATGACCACTGCAAGGAGTTCATCAAGCAGAAAGCCCACGTTCCTCTGTTGAAGATCCTCTCTCTGCCCAACCTCCCGCTGGACTTTCCCGTGGTGCCGGCCTGCGTCGGTGTGGCCTCGGTGTGCAAATCGAACCTGACGCTCGCACACGAGCCGCAAATCCTATCCGAGGGTCTGGCCCAACTCAACGAAGCCCTACAGCAGCTGGAACCTCTGTACTCGGCCCACAACACCGCGTTGGGAAGTTCGGTGCTCCTCCAGGAGCTCATCGACGCTCGGGGCGCGGAGCAGAGTCCGCAGACCACGCCGCTATTCTACGCCATGTCCGCAACGCATGCGTACGTCGTGATGTTCGTGCACGTCTGCCGGACCGGCCAGGTCGACACCCGGAAGATCTCCGTCAACCAGTGGGGGTCGGCGACCGGTTTGCGAGTGTTGAAAACGCTGTCGCAGCTCTACCTGAGCCTGGTGTGGGAGAGCACCGTGCTCCTGTCCCTCCGGTCGGAGAGCGCCATCTCGTCGACGGCGAGCGTCGCGCGTCAGCAGCTCGCGAATCTCATGGGGAACTTTGACAGCGGCGGCGACAACAACGATGAGGCGTCCTCGCCGATGGACATCGATCAGCTGCCCGCGAGCGAAGGCAGAATGTTGATTCGTATGCAAGGAGCCATAAAACAAATTCAACCCTTGTTGACCGGTGCTTCGAGACTCGGTCGTGCGCTGGCGGAGCTGTTTGGTCTTCTAGTTAAGCTTTGTGTTGGTAGTCCGATGAGGCAGAGACGGAATCAACAGCTGACTTCTTCGCCTGCAACACCGAGTCCAGCGGCGAAGTCAATCGCGATGGCCTTAACGAAACTGCTCGCTCAGGGTCTTTCGTGGCAGCCGCCGCCGGAGAATCCCGAGGACCCGAGTCCGACGAAGAGCTGTTTCACGCTGTATATCTGTTCGGTGGGCTTCACGTCCCCGATGTTGTTCGACGAGCGGAAAATGCCATATCATTTGATGCTTCACAAGTTCGTATCGTCGGGCGGCCTGAACGCCTTCTTCCAGGCGTTCGAATGGGCGATGAAGTACTGGCCCGGAGAACTGGACCAAGCGCAGCAGCCGCAACACAAGACGGGTAAAAGAAGCGATTTCGCCGATGTCGCCGGGGAATTCCTCGACGCGTGGCTCATGCTCCTCGAGAAACTTGTCAACCCCAAGGCCGTTCTGGAAACACCGCACGTTCTGCCGAAGAACCCGCAGCCCGCAGCCGGTACCGCCGCCGCCGCTACGACGACCGGATTCAATTTCGATCCGGTGCAGTATTTGATCCATGTGCACCGGCGAACGTTCGCCGCATGCACAATGTTGTGGACCCGTAAGCCGTTGAAGGCATACGGAGATCGCATGACCGAGTCCATTCTGGCCATTCTCTGTCATCTGCTCAAGGGCGAAAGTATCATCAAGGAGAAACTCCAACAGAGCCAGGAACGGGTCAGCCAACAAGAACGGAGGGCCGAAGGTACCTCGGCCGTGCAGGCTGCCGTGTCGACGGTCGAGGCCGCGGCGAGAGCGGCCGCCATCGCGACCGCCGGCGCCGCGTCCGCCGACTTCCGAAACGAGCCGGCAGGAGTTGAGGGAGTCCCGCCGCCCGCTGCCGCGGATGCGGGACACGATAATCCCTTGGCTGCGCCTCTTTACTCCTTCGGGCTGCCGCGGAGCAGTACGCGCGCCAACGAGATCCAACAGCTGGTGGACATGGGTTTCGATAGACAGAGAGCCGGAGCGGCTCTCGAGCTCAGTCGCAACTTGGAACAGGCCGCCGAACTTCTCCTCACGGATCCCGAAGCTCATCAACCGCCTGCGAGATCGTCAAGGTTCTCCGCCGTGGGCGGCAGCGGTGCCGGAAGCGGCCCAGCAGCCTCATCGTCGGCGGCGGCTTCGGCGGGCTCCGTTCAACAGCCGGACTTCGCTCAGACGTCTGGTGAGTCGACGGATCTAGACGATTATTTATCTGCAGATTTCAGGGACATAGGTAATTCAGTCGTCGGTCGTGGCTCCCGACCCATCTCGTTGCGTCGGGGTCTCTCTGACGATGTTGCGTCGAAAATTCCCTGCCTGACGTCGGGATATCCGCTGTGTTCCAGGATCGGCGGGTCAGTCAGCCGGCCGAGAGGAAGACCCTCCCCAGATCGAGTCTCCCGCGCAGACGTCGCAGTCGAGCTTCGGAGACGATCACGAAGAGATGATCCTGGAGAACGAGACACCGTTGGACAAAGCTTCGATGGACTCTTTCACGAACGAACAACTGCTCCCCGGATGTATGAATTTGCTCCAGACCCTGCCCGAGACCGTTTTCCGCGTTTGCGATCTACTCGTCGTAGTCGTTCAGAGGAACGGCAACGAATGGAGGGATTTCGCGCTGCAGCAACTGTTGGGTGATATCAAAGCACGAGCAACGCAGATGTTGAATTCTGTCGCCGATCTGACGCAATCGAATAACGAGACCTCGTTGCGACTCGCAGTCATCGTGCACCTCGTCACTTTACTGTTCGTCGAGATGAGGTGAGAAGAATGGTCCGCGAGGCGCGAAAACGCAATTTTCCGCCGTAGACCTCATCCGTGCGGGTGTCTTATATTCTCGGGAGGCGCGAGCTTGTTGGCGAGCGAGCGAGCGAAGGATCTAACTAACAATTCGCTGAATTCTTTTCTCAGAGTCGCATGCGCTCAACTGCTGGAACAAAGTGAGATGGTTCCTCTGCTGTGTCTGCTGGTCGAGAAATACGCGTCGAACGCTCCGACCGTTCCTGCGAGTACCGCGTCGAGTGAGATAACCTCACCAAAGTGGTTGGTCAGTGTCCTCATTCTCTTGGATCTGTATGAAAAAGCGGTCGTCGCTCTGAACAGACGTACACCGCTCCTGCGACTGTCCCACCGTCAGTGGAAATGGTTCGAAGAACGTTGCGGAAAATGGAACGCGTACAGTCCAGCCAATAATCAACAAATTGACGAAGCCTACGTGAATGGCCTTCAAAGAGCTCGCTTCACAGCCGGGAGGAAAAAGTACATGGCTGACTTCACAGCAATGGTACGTGGGGTTGTATGATTCGTGTATGAAAGCACATCCATCCATCTCTATGAACCCAGGGTCCGAGCTGGAGCCGATGCCAAGGCGGCTCAGACCCTGATCCCGTCTGAAAAACACTCATCCCTGCCTCCTATCATATCCTAATCATGAATTCATCTTCGTCTAGATTCAAGTAAGTGAGGATTCAACTCACTGGAGACCCATAATGGTGTCCTGGGACAAATGGGACCCACAAGACAGTAAACCTCCAGGGGGTACTCTCCCAGAGCAGCTCGAGGGCTTGCGGCCCGGACAGAAAGAGGTGAGCACCGATCGATAGCTGTGAGCGGTGACCGTCGGGAGGCTCAATCGATTACGAACGACCGATTCATTTTTTTCCGTTCAATTTCAGCTCGTCATACGATCTTGTGTGCAATTGATCTCCACTCCCGTGGACGCTCATACGCTACAAGCAATCCTTCGTTTGTCTCTGAATCTGACGAGAGGGCATGCGGAAGCTACACTGTTCGCAGAGCTCGGTGGCATAAAGGTCGGTACCGCATCGGTCTTCCATCGGCCGCGAGTTTAGGCACCGGTGTTATCTATATGCAGCTGTATGTATTCTCATGTCTACTTCTCGATGCAGTCTCTTCTGGCATTGGACGGCTCTGCCTGTGCGTTCCCGGGATTCACGTCTTTGGTGACTCTTGTGGTGCGGCACGTGATGGAAGATCCGAAAACACTGCAGGCCATCATGGAACGGGTCATTCAATCGATGCTGCTTTCAGGAGGCAGTTCCCAGGTAGCGATTAAGGTAATGTTCTCGATCCGTCGATTTCGCTATTTTATTATTGCTATATATTAATTAATATATATTAATTATTATACCATTTGATCATATCATTGTCAGAATCATATCGTTCCTAACACTGAAATTGGTCTATTCTCCTCTCCACAGGAAATGCACTACATACTTCGAGTGCTGAGCCCGGCCGCGTGTAGAAATCCAGATTTGTTCAAAGAAATCGCCAAGAACACACTCCGAATCTCGCTCATTCCCACGAGCAAACGGTCGAATGATGAGGACGACGACGCGCGTTTCGTGTCACCGTTCGCTGTGCACAGGCTACGAGCTGTGCCCACCGCGGGAAAAAGCTTTCCACCCTCGTTACCGCCGGTTGCCAAACAAGTTGTCGCTGAACTTTTGGAAACTCTCGTGACCGACGTCAAGAACGGAGACGATTCCGTGCCGAGCCAACCGTTGCTACCGAAATCAGCGATCTGTCGTTTGTTGGCCGAGCTCGTGAAGAGCTACCCCGCTGTTGCCAAACAGATTATCGAGCACCGATACCATGGGACCGAACCTTGTTCGGCGTTGGCTTTCATCATCGATAACCTTCTGCCCACTCCGTCCCAGCCGACTTCGTCCGCTCAACAGCAAGGGCAAGCTCAGCAGTCGTCGTCGTCGACTTCTTCGTCGTCGACGTCGCAGCAACAAGCGCAACCTCAGACGTCGTCGCAACAACAAGCTCAACAACAGCAAGCCGGAACGAGTACGGCCACTCAGACCGCTCCCACGACGGTTCATCACGACAAAGACGCTGCCGCCCTATCGAGGGTTCTCATAACGACACTTGCTGGGTGCAGTCACCCGTCGGAGGTGAGTAATTATTCTAGTCGAGTAGTTCACTCTGAGCGAGATACTCACAGAGAAAAAAAAAATCTGTGAGTGACTGGGAGATGATTCGGGGATCCAAGGATGAGAACGAACGAGAATTTTATTTCCTTCCCCCCTCCCCCGCAGGTACAAAACTCGCTCCTATACGAATTGCGTGCAGCCTTCCAACGAGCCCTAACCCTCCCGGAAAGTAGTGAGAAACATTCGCGAATCCAGGCCTTGACTGGATTAGTTGGATGCATTGCACGAGTGGCCTCGACCCCATCGAAGGCGGTTCCCCCATCGCGATTAATTCATCTGCTCATCAAGAAAGGAATTCTGGGCGACCTGGCTCGCGTGTCACACTCGCTGGATCTCTCGTCGCCGCATTTGGCCGCCACGATCAACTCGGCCCTGCGACCTCTCGAACTCTTGACGAATCCCGTCAGCCTCCAGAACTCGAATCCGTTCAAAAAGTCATCGAAGAACCGATCGTTCGCCGATGTCGTCGCCGGCCGAAGGGACGACGACGAGGGCGCTGACGACGATCAGGAGCTCGAGGCTCTCAGACGAAACGATGAAGTGGGTTCAGCTGTTGTCAACGGGGCCGGTTCCGTAATCCCGAGCATCGACAACATAATGGAAATGATCTTCGATAACGACATCAACGGAACGATCAACGCCGTCGTTAATCGCTCGATAGAAATGGACTCCGAGCGAGAGCTCCGAGTGCAGGGACCCGTCGAAGAGGAGGAGGACGACATGGATCTCGAGGAGGATGAAATCGAGGAGGAAGAACCACCGCCGAGAAGTCACCGTCCTACCAGAACGATTCGGGTCGAAGAGGATGACGTCGAAGGAGTCGACGACGATTCCCAAATGATGCACGACGATGATCACGGAGTGGAGCCCGCACTCCAAGCCGAAGATGACGAAGAGGTTTGTGTTTTCTGATATCGTCCCACGACAACCCGCGATCACGAACCCCGTAATTGGGACGCGCGGTTCTATCGCGGCTTCGGAACGCGTCTCACGAATTTTTCGTTCCTCCGTACAGGTGGTCGTCGAACCGGTGGAACCGGACGAAGAGGAGGACGACGATGAGGACAGCGATAGTGAAGTGACGGCGGACCGTGAGGACGCCGCAGAAGATGCGGCCGCAGGGTCGGCGGGAGGAGGATCCGGTGCACCTGCTGTCTCGGGCGCCGGTCAAGCTGCAGCAGGAGTCGCTGAGGAGGATGAAGAGGAAGACGACTTCGATGAAGAAGACGATGAGGACGAGGACGATGACGATGAGGAGAATCCCTTTGGAGGGAGCAACAACGAAGTGCTCCACAGCACTCTGCTGGCACGAATGGATCGCAGCGTCGGCATGGGTCGTTCGGCTGTGAATCCTTTCACTGAGAGCCTTCTCCTCCAGGTACGGCGATGTGATGGGAACAAGAATTAATGGAGTGTCCCCTCTGTCCCTCTCTCTCCTCTCCCCTCCCCCTTTTTCCGTCTCTCTCTCTCCTCTCCCCTCCCCCTCTTTCCGTCTCTCTCTCTCCTCTCCCTCCTCTCCCTCATCTCTCACGCGCGAGAGCGCGCGTGGAGATATCGAACGACTAATTCATTCCCTCTTCCTTCTCAGGTCAATCTCGAAGATATGTTCCCGACCCATGTGTTTTCCGATACCGATGGCGTCAGCCGATACCTACCGAACCTGATGGACTGCTGTGATCTGCCCGATGGCCTCTCGGTCATACCCCCAGCTCCAGGAGCGGTTGCTTCCAGTCATCCCCTGCTCAGTCGGAATAACGACACCGCCGGTTCTTCTTCCGGGACCCAGGGACAAGGAGCTTCGCGCAACAGTAGAGGGTACATAGCGAGTTCCTTCCCCGAATAATTAATTCCTCGAGTACCTAGTTTGGCTCAAGAAGCTCCTGTCGATGACGAACTCAAGAGAAACTATTCGCAACTGCTTCCCGATTCGGGTGTCGTCGACTCTATTCCGCCCCGATCCGCTCCGGTTTTCTGACTCGATTTTTTTTCGTTGTTGCAGACGCACTCTCGGAGTACAGAGTCGCATGGGCGCCTCAGGTGGTTCTCGGACAACGATGAGTGCGGCCTGGCAGCTCTTGAGTGGCAGGGCTAATCCTCCCGCCATTCTCCAGAGATTGTTCGGACCCGCTCAGGACCACCACATGCCCATCCAGATTTCGACCAGTGGAAGCCACTACGGACACGGATCGGGTGGCGGCAGCTCGAGCGGTCATCATGTCACGACAACGCCTCGGGTGCTGTTCGCCAACACAATGCTCGACGCCCCCGAGGATTGGTTCGTCGATCTGTACGATGAGAACGTTCCGGGATCCTCGAGTCAGCGAAATGCCGCAGGGGGCTCGGGTACCGTACCGGCCGCCCATACCCGTTGGATCGAAGAGAGCAGGGTTCTAGACGGAGATTCGCTCCACGACTGCGTTGCTTTGCTCAAACCGGAGATCATCTCTCACCTAGAGAAGTTGCGCGATGAGGAGCTCGCACAAAGAAGGGAAAAGCGGAAGGAACGGGCCAAGAACGCTCAGGATAAGAAAGAATCGGAAGCCGCCACCGACGACAACGATAAAGCTCGCGGCTCCGAAGACATGAGCGAGGAAACTCGACAGCAGCTACAACAGGCTCAGCTGGAGCAGCTGAGCACCGCATCCCTGGCCGATTCGGCGACGGCAATCCAAAGCTCGTCATCGACCAGCAACAACAGCGATAATCGGCAGAGTAGCGGCGGCGGTAGTAGCAGACATGCGGAAGACTTCCAGGACATGGACATGACCATCGTCGTCGAACGGACCCAAGCCCATGAGGAGTTCGCACGAGGATTCCTCGAAGGCCTAATCGCCGTCGATTCGTCTTCAGTTGGCATGTCGTCAGACGCTGAATCGGGACGAGCCGATCAATCAGCTGCGGCCTCAGGTGAGCTTTACATATCTTGCCCTAATTTATCCGGTCAGTCCGATCTTCCGATCGAGTTTGGAGGGACACCCCTCGCGGCGGGAACCATCCGGTCCAATGATGCTGCGACGATTCAAATCAAGTGATTTTTCGCGCAGGTGAGTCGCCGGGACGTGCGCCTTCAGGCTGGATACAGGACGACCAAGCCGCCCAAGGCGAGCCAACGCCCATGGACACCGCCTCACCCCCGTCTCGCCGTAGTGCAGAACGGACAGAAGCCCAACCCCAACATTCGAGCCGATCGAGGTAAAGATGATGATGAATGATGTTGAATGATGTTGATTGATGTTGAATGATGTTGAATGATGTTAAATGATGTTGAATGATGTTGAATGATGTTGAATGATGTTGAATGATGTTGAATGATGTTGAATGATGTTGAATGATGTTGAATGATGTTGAATGATGTTGAATGATGTTGAATGATGTTGAATGATGTTGAATGATGTTGAATGGTGTTGAATGATGTTGAATGATGTTGAATGATGTTGAATGATGTTGAATGATGTTGAATGATGTTGAATGATGTTGAATGATGTTGAATGATGTTGAATGATGTTGAATGATGATGATGTAGCGACCCGCCTCGGAGGGCAGGACGATTTCCTTGTTCACGAGATGTGACTAAAAAACAATATGTTGCAGCTCCGATGAATCGAGCCCTCTGATGGAATCTCAAGCTGGCGCTAATCTCAACGTTCAGAGCGACGTACCGATGATTTCACCCGAATCAGCCGTCAATCAAGAAGACCTTCCCTCGCACTTGGATCTGGCGGGCTCGAGCATAACGGAACAACAAAGCCAGTCGATTCCCGCTGCTGCTTCAGCAACTGCCCAGGAACAACAGCAGCAGAGCTCGAGCGACGCTCGCGCTTCTGGATCAAACGAATACTCGGCGATCCTTGGCGACATCGAAGTTCCCGAAGGTGTGGACCCGTCTTTCTTGGCGGCCCTCCCGGAATCGATGCGGCAAGAAGTCATCCAGGACCATCTGCGAATGCAGAGACTCCGACAGCAAAACCAAACTTCGTCGTCAAGCGCAGCGGCAGCAGCGGCGGCCTCATCGGCGGCTCAAGGTGCACAATCGAGCTCCGGCGAGGCTCCCGCCTCGGGCTCGTCGTCCTTCACCGAGGTGAACCCCGAATTTTTGGCCGCCCTGCCTCCGAACATCCAGGAGGAGGTTCTAGCTCAACAGCGGGCTGAACAGCAACGACTGGCGTCCCAGAACCAAGCTCCGGACGAACCTGCGGACGCCAGTGCGTTCTTCTTGACGTTGCCGGCTGGACTGCGTCAGACCATTCTGCAAGATCTTGACGACTCTCTTCTGCCGATTCTACCTCCAGACCTCGCACAAGAAGCACAAACGTTGAGAGCGCAGGCTCTGCAACAGAGAGAGATCCTCCAAGACCGCTTGTTTTCGAGCGGAGGAACATCGACCCTGTCGCGTATTTTGCGAACAGCGGTCAACCGGATGGGTAGCGGCGGAGTGACCCGGTACACGATCCACAACTTGCCTCTGAGGCCTTCGGGTCGAGGCGGGTCGAGTGCCTGGGCCTGGAACGCCATCGGAGGCTCCCATATGGTTCGGCATCGAAACGTCAGTCGGCAACTTATCGACTTCGAAGCCCTGTCGTGTCTTCTTGTTTTGTTGTTTGTCGACGAACCACGTCTGAACACCAATCGACTCCAGAAGGTTCTGAGGAATTTGGCTTACAACGAAGCCACTCGACTGTGGCTCGTACGGGCCTTGTTATCGATGATTGAGAAAGCTACGCCCGCGTCACCCGACGACAGTATCGATCACTTGACCTACTTCAACAAGAAAACAGCCGCCAGCTGGCTATCCATCAGCCTGGATGCCGCCCTCGGATGCAAGACGAACATTTTCCACATTTACAACGGTCAAGTTCTGATCCATCCGCAAGCGGCGAACATGGTGTGCCGGCACGCGCTCGACACGCTCATCTCGTTGGGCAAAGCATTTCCGAAGCATTTCATGCCGTCCACCCGGCACCAACAGCAGTCGCAGCAGAAGGATCAAGCTCAGCAAGACGGCAAGAACTCCAAACCGACGGACTTCTGGTCGTTGATCGTCAGGCTCGAACAGCAGTCCCACGGAAAGGCCAAGGGCAAGCAGTTGTCCACCCCGATCAAACTCCAGTCGGGATCGTCATCATCGAAGAAAGACGACGACTCGGAGGAAGCTCAAGAGCAGGGACCTAGCCGAGACCCTCGCGAGTCGGTGAACAGCGTCATGAAGATCGTCATCGAATCCATGACGGGCGCCCAATTCAAAGCGAGTCCTCTCTTCCAGCTCATTTTGCTGCTGGCGCATCCGGTCATCCAGAACAGCCAGCTGTTGACCGATCGACTGCTGCGTCTTCTGGCGCTGGTCGTCATCGCCGTCGAAGACCGACCGAACACGATCACGCCCTCGCAGAGGACGGCCCAGCAGGCAGCCGGCAACGACGCGTCGACGGCGAACAAGAACGGGGAACAGCCGACGTCCGCGACGGGAGCCCCGAGCTCGAGCAAACAGGATGCGTCCGCGACGACGAGTGAGACCGAGAACCGGGCGGCCGGAGCTTCGACCACGGCCGACGCAGACCGGGAGGAGACCGAACAAATTCTGGAATCCCATCTGAAGCTCGCAGTTAACACGCTGACTTCGAAATCGTGCTCGGAATCCGGTCTGGAAGACGCTACCGCGCTCCTCCTGAAACTATCGAAGGGATCTTCGCTCGTTAGGAAAGTCGTCCTGAAACTGCTTCTGGACGGTGCTCGGCAACTCGGTCAAACGGTTTGCGAACACATAAGTCAACTCGAAAACGAACTTCGGGGGCTATCCGAAACCGCCGACGACAAGCCCGGTCCCAGCGGTACCGCGATCAAGGGAGTCATCCAAGACCGATTCACCTCGGGGGCCGTGGTCATCACGGCACCGAAAAGTCGCGTCAGTTCTCAAGCCGGCGGCAAACTGGCGGCCGGAGCTTCGAGTCGAGAGCTGCAGTTGGCTTCGATGGCCGCATTGACATCCAAGACATCGAACCAGGCTTTCCTGCTTCGAGTTCTCAAGGTCATCATTCAGCTGCGCAACTGCGCCCAGAACAGCACCGGTGCGATCGCTGACCCTTCGGCCGCGGACAAATCGCAGCCGACGCCGCTCTGTTCGCTGAGTCACGAATTGGCTCTCGACGCCTTGTGGAATAAATTGTCGGATTGTCTGACAGAGCTCGCCGACGCCCCAGACCAACACGCTGTTCTCGTCCTGCAGCCGGCGGTCGAAGCGTTTTTCCTCGTTCACGCCGCATCATTCCGAAACAGTCCCGCAGGCTCAACAGCTGCAGGAGGCTCGAGTCTCCCCGCGTCGGCGGCAGGAGCTGGGGCTTCTGGCTCGGCGGCCGGCGCCGCGGGCTCGAACGACCGGGGTTCGCTCCAGGCCGAACGACCTTCATTCGGAGATCAGGCGAACCAATCCGCGGGAGCAGCTGAACCAATGATGATGGAACCGAGCGAGCTGGTCCTCGAAATGCCGCCCGTATCGCCACCGGATGTCGCTATCCGAAGGGCAGGGGCCGACGACGACGACGCCGCCGGTGGATCGAGCGACGACAGCAACGCCGACATGGGAAAGTTCCTCAATTTCGCCGAAACGCACCGAATGGTCCTGAACCAGATTCTGAGACAGTCCACCGTTCATTTGCCCGACGGTCCGTTTGCTGTTTTGGTCGATCACACTCGAATCCTCGACTTCGACGTCAAACGAAAATATTTCCGAACCGAACTGGAGAAAACCGATGTCAGTGGACGCAGGGAGGATGTTGCCATCCATGTCAAACGTGAGCTCGTGTTCGAAGACTCCTACAGGGAATTGCACAGACGACCTCCGGAGGATTGGAAGAACAGGCTGTACATCGTCTTCGAAGGCGAAGAGGGCCAGGTGAGTTTAGAGATCGTTATCGACGCCTTCGTGAGTTCCCCTCAGATGGCGCGAGCTTCCCGGCGCATTTCCGCCGTGATCAGATTCTAATGGACGTATTCTCTCCCGAAACGCAGGATGCTGGCGGCCTACTCCGTGAATGGTACACCATCGTTTCCCGCGAGATCTTCAACCCGATGTACGCTCTTTTCACGACCTCTCCCGGCGACCGGGTCACCTACATGATCAACCCCAGCTCACACTGCAATTCCAACCATCTATCGTATTTCAAATTTGTGGGTCGGGTAATCGCTAAGGCAATTTATGACAACAAACTGCTGGAGTGTTACTTCACAAGATCGTTCTACAAACACATTCTGGGACGGCCCGTCAAGTATATCGATATGGAGTCCGAGGACTACGATTTCTACAAAGGGCTCGTCTTCCTCCTCGAACACAAAGTTGAGGAGCTCGGCTACGATCTCACTTTCTCCTTGGAAGTAAGTTAGAAGAGCATTGTTTTTTTTTGACGCGAGGCTAGATCGGATCAGCTCTCTAGCCATCTAGTTTCCGTATTATACTTGCGAAATCTCCTGGCTGAACTCTCATTCCTTTTTAGGTCCAAGAGTTCGGAGCGAATTCCATCAAAGACCTGAAGCAGAATGGTCGTCATATCGTTGTGACGGAAGAAACGAAGCACGAGTATGTGCGACTCGTTTGTCAAGAGAAAATGACAGGGGCCATCAGGTGAGGAGGGAAATGGAGCGCGATGATCACGGATATTCCCCTTCTGAGTATTTCACTCCTGCTACCCGACCATGTATATAGTCAAACTGGGTCTGACAACGGGATTTTCATTGCAGACCCCAACTCAACGCCTTCTTGGAAGGTTTCTACGAGATAATTCCGAAACAACTGATTTCGATCTTCAATGAGCAAGAACTCGAGCTACTCATATCCGGACTCCCGAATATCGACATCGACGATCTGAAACAGAACACCGAGTACCACAAGTATCAGAGCAACTCCCTACAGATCCAGGTGAGATATTCGCGTCTCCTTTACGTGGCGAGCTGGCAGGGTTTTTTTTCTTTCACATATCATGATCCGATCGAGCTCCTTACTAATTCCATCCTTCCGTATCGATTCCAGTGGTTCTGGCGGGCTTTGAGGAGCCTAGAGCAAGCGGATAGAGCCAAATTCTTGCAGTTCGTGACGGGAACATCGAAGGTGAGCCTCTTCGCGCCCATATCGCACCTTCGGATGATCGATGTGGACTACGCACCTGGATCGAGTCCGATATCTGACTAATGAACGCTCCGTGTATTCCCAGGTCCCTCTGCAAGGTTTCAGTTCCCTCGAAGGCATGAACGGTGTTCAGAAGTTCCAGATTCATCGGGACGACAGATCCACAGACAGATTGCCGTCGGCGCACACTTGGTGAGTTCCCCGCTGCTTCGATATGAGTCTCGGCGTCTCCAAACCCAATTTTGGAAGTCAGGCAGTGATGCTTAGAGCTCAATCGTTCATTGAACTGCATAAAGACGAAAGTTAGCTAAGCTCATCGTTTGCGTTCGCAGTTTCAATCAACTGGATCTGCCAGCCTACGAAACCTACGACAAGCTAAAGGCGATGCTTCTGAAGGCCATAAGGGAGTGTTCCGAAGGATTTGGGTTCGCCTAAGAACGGGAAGAGGAATCCCACTGTGAGACAAGCTCCGTGTCAACTTCAGATTTATCGTAGTTTTTGACAAGTGAGGAAAGAGATCTCCATTCCTGAAAGCAAGCGTTGTCGTGTTGTTCAACGGTCGGAAGTTCACGGAAGGACTCTGATTTAAAATCGCACTAGCCGACATTGATTTTCACCACCACCGCAGTTAACAACAGGGCAAGCGACTAGGCAACGCTGAACTTGGAGCAACGCAGAAGTGCTTTATACAGTTTATATGTTGATTTCGGGGAAGAAGCCAATCAGCGGAACAACTCAGGAAGCTGAAGACACTTGGAAGATATGCCTGCGCAAAAATCAATCGCGACTTTGCTAGAGAGTCATCGTTGTACATTTGTGTAATATGCTAGCTACAATAGGAGGAGAAACCCAGCAACAACAGTGAAGGATAGGAGAGAAAGAAATAATACGCGCTCAACATCTCACGCGAAGGGGGCGGTAAAACCTCCGAGAGTCACTGCATGAAGTTGAAAGAATTTTCCAATCAGCGTATCAAAACTCTTCCAACTCTTGAGGAACCGTAAAATAAGTGGAAGTAGAGCGAAGAGAACGAAGAAAAAACAGCCCAATTATCCTACCAAACTATCTATCTTTTCATTTCTTAATCAATATCCGTGATCGAAACGTCCATCCATTCACCCGTTTCTCTGATGAACGACTTCCGTCGCTTCGGAATTACATTCAGGAACTCAGCTCCGGGGTTAGGGGGTAGCTGTTCGGAGACAATATATCGAAGAATGATACTTTGAGCTCTTTCCGTAGAAGTGGGAAACGGGATGTATTTTTCCCCGAATTGTGTTTGGGTGTGTGATTGAGTGACTGATAGGTTGACGAATGCTGGATCTTTCCCCCCGCTGATAATAATGTGAAAATAAATCCAACCTCTTTCTTACGACGTGAATATTCGTGATCTCACGTGAAATACCCCGAAACGAACTCAGGAGAGGTGATCGTTTTCATAGGCAAGTAATCGAATGAATGGAAGGATGTTTTCCTGAGGATATGTCGTTGGAAAGTCACGAAACTGGAGTGATATATTCCTTTTGCTTTTATTCACTATATACAGAGTGACAGTTCGCGTCAGCGAGATGCCCGTAGGCGGATGCCGAAGCTAAAATGTCATATATTTTTTCATTAAATAAGTTCAACATTTAATTATTCACACCCGTGAACTCACGCGGTTTCATGGATTCGTATTCGATGCGACTGGCTCGACGAGCTATGCTCGATGACGTCAGAATCCCTCTCTCAGTCGGACTCGGGGAGGAACCGGATAATTGTTCGATCAGCTATTCAACACCGATGGCTGGGGGCGTTTGGCCTTAAATCGGGGATAGAGTCTATTCGACCGATCAAGATACTTCATAAATTACATCAGATCTTTCTTGGAATGGAAGACTATGCAGCCGCTGCAGCAGCTCCAGGATTCTCTCTCCAGAATACAAGGTTCGGACCTTGTATGCTTTGGCACGAGACCCGAGGGTTCCTGTAACATACGAAGCAAAATATTGGTACCACGCATGAGGGTCGCTTTGCTTTGCGAGAATGTTGGGTGACCTCGAGACGGTTGCAGGAGGAGGTTGCACTTACAGGAACGGATCGTATAGGTCGAGAACATTTTTAGTGACGAATTTAGTCGTATCCATGTTCTCGCACATGATCTTCGCCAGGGAGGCTTTCCGCAGTTCGGCTAGTTGTCCCTCGGTGAACTTCACAGAATGCTCATCATTCTCATGCCAATATCTGCAGGAAATGATGAAGTTTATCATTGAGCTCGACGGCATCTATCCGACATGGTTGCAGAGTGATTAGTCCCTCACGGGGAAATTCCTCCGTGAGCGTTCTCACCTGTCACATCGACGTAATCGTTGGAATTGGAAACCGATTATACACGCGAAAGTGGGGCCCACCACCCCACCGGGAAGGGGGATTTCGGAGAGACCTCCGGAGAACAGGTCTATGTCGTCAACATGTCTGTAATGCAAATAATTACGAACTGAGTCATTTTGAGCTCGATCTTCTCGGAAATCGTCGAACGTGATTCTCGTCGATTCCGGAGTCGTCGTCAGCGAGGATACGCACCTGTAGACATTGGATAAGCCTCTGATAGCGTTCGGATTGACCTCCCCTTGTAGATCCTGGAATGATCTCAGACGCGGCTTCCCGCAAAATTCACGATAATCATTGTAGCCGCGGATGCCGTGATCGCGGCCTCTTTGCAAGTTGATAGCTATGAGATCAAGACCCGAGAAAGGAATGCTCTTCGATTCGAACAGGTGTTCCGTCACCATGTTTGTCACATGATTGTCGAAATTTTCCATGGCAGTTGCCATGAGCCCTCTCACGATCTGGTCCAATTGGTCACCTAGAACGAATGGGATACATTTCATTCGAGAGCGGTCCAAAGCACTTGTCTCGCACCGATGCGATTGAGCAGGACATATCAGACTCGTGTTCGGATCTCGGCTCGGGGGCGTTTTTCTGCAACAGGCGACTCACGTTTGTAGAGGACTTGCGAGTTGAAGAAGGCGTCGGTCAGCTTGATCCTTCCGATCTCGTTGTAGGCGGGACCGAGCAGCTTGAACGCAGGGGGCAGCAGCGTGTGACCGAAGCGGAAGGCCGCAGTGGCGAACTCGTTGAAGACACCGACGTCGCAAGTGGGATCGTAGCCCGCATAATAACCCGAGTCCAGAAGATTCAAACCCCATTGGCTCACGGCCTCCCAGCCGAGAACTCTCGGTAGCCATTCGCTGTAGATGACCCGCTGATACATGGCAGTCAGAATTCTTCGAGCTTCTTGGAATGAACGTTCGTCGTCCCAATGGGGATTTAAACGCGAGAGCTCCAGCGAGATACGATTGTGTTCCCTTGCGAAAATCGTGTGCATCGATGTGAGGGCCGGCTGTTCGGAGACTCTCGTATCACCGGCGATGAAGCATCGGTCGTTCGAGGACAGACAATCGGCCGCTCCTGAGATCTCCGGCAGGAGAGGTTTCAGCGAAGGGTCAGCGGGATGAGCCGACATGTTCAGCTGCCCGTCTCGTAGCAAGCGGAGTTCCTCTCGAGCGCAATTATCGGAGCCGTAAACGGTGGAGAGATCGAGGAAACCTGAAAACGGACGGGAGGCGGTGCATTTAAACGCTGTCAACATGTCAAAATGCATACGTCGAGCTCATTCGTCGAGGATTCCAGCCTACCTGTGACTTGATTTATCTGTTCTCGAGATCCGAGCGTTCGTTGACCGCTCATCGAACGCGTGAACGGCAAGCACAGCGGTCGGCCGCTCTTCGCTGATACCGAAGGGAAGAACGGGTCGCCATGGGGTATGGTTATCGGGAAACATTCTTGGTGGTTCTCCTTCAGGGGCGAATCGCATTTTCGGCATTTCAGAGTGGATTCGTTCGGACCCTCACTCAGAGGCGTATGAGCAACGTCGTGGTCCATGAATTGACCCATCTGCATCAGCATCTGAGTATATTTCTGATGAGGCACCGAAAGATCGCTGTGGACTGCGGCGGACACGACTCGACTCGGAGGAAGTGGCGAACCCAGCACCGAAGTTTGCCTGGCGGCGCTGATGTTATCGTCGTACTTCGAAGGAATTATCCTCCTGAACGAGTGGGACACTTTACCGAAATTGGGGCTTCGTAGATTATTGCAACGGCCGGACATCGTTCTGAAAGGAGTTCTCGGATTGCACGGCTGGAGACGTGTCGGTTCGCAAGCGGCCGGCTCCTCGAACTCCCGGTGGAATTTGCTCAGATCGACGTGTCTCAAGGCAGGAATGAAGTTGTCATCGATGGTACGTCGCTTGTCTCGGCCGAGTTCGTTCATGAGCTTCTTGGTGGCGAGCTCCAGTACTTCGCTCTGGTTGTGGACATTCCGTGAGATACCGTTGGCTCTCATGAAGCCCTTGCCTCGATTGGGTCCGAATCCGCCGTCTCCGTTGATGTTGTCTCTTAGCGCGTTGCTCGCGTCGTTCAGAGCATCGACGACCTGTCCGTTAGCCAGGTTCTTGAGTGGACTCTCCTCTGCCCACGGTTCCAGATTCACGGAGCTCAGGAGACGATCACCGCAAGACTGTAGATTATTCAACCAGGGATCTGGCAGCTGCATGACTCGCGGCTGGATAACTCCCCCGTGGAACACGTTGTCACAAATTATCCTCGCCAACGATGTCTTGCGGATTTCTTGGAGTTGATCTTTCGTCAGGGAGCTCGGCTGTCCGGGGTTTTCGTACCAGAACCTATCAGAAATACGCAGATGCCGGAACTGGTGGGCGTAGACGCAAGCCAGCGTGGGACCGACCAGCCCGCCCTCGACGGGAGTTTCGGCCAGGGCTGCGACAATCAGGTCGATATCGTTCACATCGTCGTAGAGCTCAGCTAATTTCAACGCGATTTCTTTATCCATCACTTGGGCGAGATTCTCGAACGTCTCGATGTTCCTCAGCCCACAGAACTGTCGCCATTTCGTGTATCCTGCCAAACCATGGTCCCGACTCTGTTGGATCGAGATCGCTGCGAGATCGAGACCCGGCTGACCCGGCTCCGAAGCGAACATGTCGTGCGTCACGTGAGAACTGAAGAAGGCGTCCATCCTCTGGGCGCGTTGCATCAAGGCGCCTGCGACGTACTGTTTGAATCTGTTCGAGTTGTAAAGATCTTGCGGACGGAACGCGGTCTCCGTCGAGGATATGGAACCGAGTTTACGGAAACGAACCGCGTCGAAGAGCTCGTTGTTGCTCGGCATGGCTGAAAGAAGAGCCCAGAGACCGATCGTTCCCATGACGTTCGTGACACCCGGCAGACGCTTATGGTCGTAACCCGAGAAATAGCCGTTGCTGTCCATGCGGAGCCCGAATCTCTCCACGACCTCGGGACCTACGAGTGTAGGGAGGAGTTCGTTGTAGGCGATGTGCTGAATTTCGGCACCGACGATTTTCCTGGCCTCCTGGTAGAGTTGCTCATCGTCCCAGGATGGGTTGAGCAGCTTGAGCTCCCTGGCGATCCGATTGTGCTCCCTGATCCAGACGGATGTCATCCACGCCAATCCGATATTCTGATTCATTCGCGGATCACCCGAGCTGAAGCATGGGGCTGTCTTTGTTCCGCGGCAGTCCAGAGACGATGCATCTCCCACCGGGATCTCTTCACCGGCGTCGTTGCGTTGCGTCAGAAGTAGTCCGTTCTCAAACGAACGTAGGAAGCGTGCTTCGGCTTCTGAGGATCCGTAAATCGTCGAACCGTCAATGAAAGACGTAACTTGATTGTTCTGTTCACGGGGTCCTAGACCGCAGGTTTCACGGGGCGCTGTTGACGATCTGACGTAATCCAGACAGCTTTGACCGAAAGATCCATAGAAAGGATCGTTGGCTTCGACTGGGATCTCCATACATTCGGGATGCTTCAGGTGATCGGGGACCCCACAACATTTGAGTCGAGCACCTTGGAAACCTGGAAAATATGAACGCGGCAATCAATGATAATTCCATCCAGATCGGAGAAAAATGCGGAACGATGTCTCCGCTGTCACGTTGACCGAGGTCCGAGCAGCGCTTGTCGCTTTCGGGAGCCCTCGTATTCGAAATTGAATCGGGTCGGGATTGGCGAAGGAAGTTTCACACATTCTGCGCTTCCATCACTTTCGTGAAAGGAACAGATTGAATTTCGAGAACTTCTCAAAAGTCTCATCGTCGATAAAAGTTTCTCAAGCCATCACTGAATGGATCAGACCGCTTACGGACACATTCAGTGGACAAAAACTGAGTTTCTTGTGAAAGTCAGCAAATCGAAACGCAGAGAAAAAGCATGAGCTTACCGGCAGTTTGTGGTGTGTGGGCAACGTCGTGGAATACGAAATGACCGAAAGCGACAGCTACCATCGACGCGTGCTCGTGGGGGATGTCTCTGTCCAGGAACACATTCGACGAGATCTTCCTCGCCGACGGAAGCGGCAAATTGGATCGTGAGACACGCGGAACAGAAACTCCTGTGTTTCGGAAGAAGGCAAAGGGTTAGCGATGTCAGGAGGCCTCACGAGACAAAATACCACTATTGTCTCGTTTTGAAAATTTCGTCAGCTCATTCTCGGCCCCGTTCCCGAGAGAAATTTTGCACCAAGAGCCTGACGGAGAGGGCGCGGATCAGTTTCCTTACCATCAGCGTAAACCGGCGGCAAGAAGCGGAGGAATCTCAAGTTCGCGGAACCCCAGAAAGGGTTTTCAAGGTTGTTGCAGAAACCGTCGTACGAACGGTATCTTTCGGGTGCACATGGTCTGACTCCAATTTTGTATGGACAGTTCAAATCCAGGAAAGTTCGTTTTATATCCACCTGTAGAGTGGAAAGGCATTAGTATCCAGAGTGTCCTCACGTCTATCTTTCAGGCGATCGTTCCTTGAATGATAAGCTTTTTCAGACTGACCTTCGTCAAACCGAATGTGACATCCCGCGGTGACAGATTGAGGTTTTGAGCAACATCTTGAGTCGCGTATTCGGCGATGGACCCAAGCGCCGAAAGATTTTTTGATGCTACTTTCGTTTTCTCTATGGCACCCAAAAACCAGAAAGGTTCTCGTGGGGTGCTGGCGACGCCCGCAGCGAATATGTCGGGCTCAGTCGTGTTGAACAGCAGCTGCTGCCTGAAAATAATTAATTCGGACTTTCAGCAAGAAGTCGAATTAAAATGTAATTCTTCGAAGCCCATTCAAGAAAAAGTCAGACAAAATCTGATATTTTTGAATATCGTCCGATCTATTCTCCCCGGATCAGCTAACAAAAAATATCAGCATCTGTTGCTGCTCCCTCCCCCGAAATCTCGGAAGTTGTGATGGGAGCGCGGATGCGCTGGTGACTAACAGCATAAGAATCAGACAGGATGTACGTACAACAGGAAGCGTCTTTGACGCCAGTAAGTCTATCTGTTTGCCCAGTACGACCACGCGACGCTCCGTGGGCGTAAAACGATGACGTTCACATGGAATACCGGTTGCCGTCCAAATATAAGGCTTCCCGTTATACAACCAAGAGAAAATTCACAGAAGGGATGACGGCCGACCGCCGGCTCGCTTGGCCTTACCGATGGCCCGCAGCAAACGTTCATCGAGCGACAAAAACATCATGAGCGACCGCCGTCACTATTAACGATGTTTCCTCGAAATTCGAAAAATAATATCTATAGCCACGAATGAAAGGAGTATGGAGATACTCTCGTAAAGTCGGCTAGATCTCGAATGGCTGTCAATTTCAATAGAATTTCGCTCGGTCTTTATATATATGGATGCATATAGGCGAGCCGGGATACGAGATCGAATCATGCGAGACCTCCATGATGATGCGACAGTACTGCAACGGAAAACCTCGCTTGGAGAGACGCAACCCCGAGTGAAGAAGCTCAGATGTTTATGTCGCTCCGTGTTTGTGAAGGGGACCGTTGCTGGCAGAACTAACAGTTCGGGAAGGTTGATTGACCGGAAGATGACTCTGAGCGGCAGAGAGGGCTTTGTCCCGTGAAAACGAAGACACTAGGGGCTGCGAATTGATGGAGCACATGGAAATTGGCGACGGCGGCCAGATCGTGCCGATCGTGCAGCGAATGGGAGCCGATCACCGCAAGTTTGCCGTTGCTTTTTCTGAGCGGCAAACGAGGAGTTTTTCCGTCACAGCATTTCGTCTAGCCTGGCAGCTCATAGTTCAGTGACTCCTGGAAATCTGGTCGTCGCTCGACGCTCTGCGACGGCTCCCGAAGTCTAGAAGCCTACAGAGACGAGCTCTTCCAAGCTAGGTTTTTGCCCCCAGAATTATACATTTTCTCTCGCTCCGCACTATCCTGCTTCCAACAGGAGAGTCCCGCCCAGTTTTCGCATTTGCGAGGCGCTGCCCGAGGCGTTTCCTAGGGCGAACCCGGAGTCACTTATCTCCGCGATGGAGCGCAGGTTTCCCACGCACTGGACGCAGCAATATTCGTTGCGAAGGTGAGAAGGAAAATCGAATGCGGGTGCTGTAAATCGCGAACTTATCGCCTGTCCTCCAGAAGAAATCGAAAATTTTTATGTCTCCCATTGAGCTTGGTAGCTCCGGGAATTTCCGATGATCAATCTGCGGCTTCTGGTTGTTCTGAGGAGAGAGTCGAGCAAGAGGAAGCATTCTAGGCGAAGCCGCATGATCGAGGCATACACGTACGCTAAATTTTTCGGCCTTCATGCCTTTCTCTTTTTCTCTCATTGTCAGCTTCTGGATGTCGGCCTCTTCGAGTGAGGGGGGAGTGACGGGGGAGGGGGTGTGATAACTGACTTATCGCTGTAGACCAATCTCCAAATCTGGAGGCGGATTCATGACCCGGAAGTGAAGAATAGTCTACTCGCTCAGTTCACATATTTTCTCCACTTCATCGGTCCCCCTGGTCCCGACTCGCGCTCCTCGGTATGTGAGCCACCGATCTTGAAATTCCGATGCAGATATTAGGATCTGTAGACTTTTCAGAAAAGATCAACGTCGCATGAAGGAATGTATTGTAGATCGTGTGTTACACTTCTATCTTGTATTTCAGTAGCTATTGGTCCGACGACCTTGCACCTACGACCTCGGAAAGCCGGCAGGTCAACATTGTACCGCTGTGGGGTTCGCATCGCCTCCGGCATATTGTCGTGGGCACGCCTTTACCGAGCTGCTTTAGAAGAATGCGACACTTTGGCGAATGTAATGATTTCAAATATTCGTGTGCGTTCGGAAAAAGTGCGTCTTCGAAAGGAATAATTCGACGTCGCTGGAGCCGATCAGAACTTGCGCGGACGTTGCCTCAGACGATCGCTTGCGATTTTCTGGATTTCGGATCTTCGGATTTACTTCGTCTTAGACATTCCGATCCAAGTTTGCTTTCCGTTATGAAAGCATCATTCTTCCATCATTAAGATACCGTCATTGTTCATTCATATCGTCATTATTATCCAATTTCCTCGTAATTTGAAGGATGGTCGCGAGCAGGGCTGCGAATCTATATTTTCAATGTTCGGAACATTTTCCGGGACATCCCCAACGGTCATCTCGGCACCGGACTTGAGAGCGTCCTGGCTTCTAGTGAGAACGATGTCCATCCGACGGTGTGCCGTGTGGCTGGTACAGGATCTTCAATGAACACTGATGACAAAAATAGACAAAAGGAAACGAGCGACCGACCGACGAATAGACATCGGATGCCGCGGGAAGGGCAACCCCAAACAAAGCTTCGCGAAAACAATGAAGATTTGCGGATTGCGCCCTCGTGAATAGATGCTCCGAATGTGGCAAAACCATTGCGAACAACAATATCTCATTGTGGACATTTAGAGGGATGAGTCGAACACGAAACTTCCAGACTCGAAAACATCTTTCGCCGGCTTGGAAAGCATCGAGCTTCATTCAATCGGCTTCCGGTGATTTGGGACCTTCGTGATCGCTCTTCGAACGGGCGGCCGACAGAGACGGGCGATCGTTCTTGGGACCATTCACTGAACATAGTCCGAGGATGTGGTATCTTCGCAAACACAGATCTGAGAACCCTCGATCTGGGGATTATCCCATAAGTTTGGTGCCTTCATCTCTGATTAGCCAGACTGGGGATAGATTCTCCGAGCTGCCCAGAGTCTCGGAGGCCCGCTAGGACCGGTACCCGATACCGATATGTGCCGGATGACTTATTCATGTTCTAGAGCTCAAAGTTCGAGGTCGAATAAGCAACGACGCCGAAAGTGGAGGAGAAGAAATGTATTATCCTCAAGGTAAGCCAATGTCAACCGGCTGTCATCCTGGGGATCCTTCGACCTCGAAAAGAATTCGAAGCGAATTCGCGAACAGGCAGCTATTCTTCGCAGCGGATTGGCGAAAAATTCTGTCGTGAACTGTATCGCATTCGTAGAGCTTTCTTTTCAGTCAGTCGGAAGGCTGGAAGAGCATGAACTTCCTCGCCTCCCAGAATTTTGACAAGACAATTGAAATAATTGCAGCGTGTTCCGACGCTCTGGAAATGTAGTTGTTTTCCGCCGTAGGACCGGCAGCATCCGCGTGGGAGATAAAGATCTGAACCGTTCTCCAGATGCGGCCAGCTGACCGGGAGAGATTGGCGATTTCAACACTGAATACAATGACTGCTTGTACGGTGTGGCTCGTACTTCAACCTATCTCCTACTAATGGGTCGAAATACCGAAGTGTAGCAAGACAGTACCCTGACCCACCTTCGAATGGGCAATACAGCCAAGTACGCTTGATTGAGGGGCTCAGCGCAGTCAGTCAGCCCAATAAGAGACGGCAATCGTCGGTTCGGATCATCATCCAAGTCTTCTGCAGAGACAAACGACTAATGCGATTTCTCTTGATCCCACACAGCGATGCTGCTGGTAGGTGATGCCGTTGTTGTTGTTGCTAGGGTTCGAAAACAGGAAACCATAGAAGAAAACGAAAGAAAGCATGAGGCGAAGTCGACGAGGAAAACGAACAAAAATCCTTCATTTGATCATTGACTCCGATGTCAAGTGAACAGCGCTGACAACAGAACCCTTACGACATGAACGAAAGAGAGAATAATCCGAAGTCAAGAGTGCGGTGGGCCGCGCGGGAGCTTCACCATTCGGACCGAGCGTATGCAAATGGGAGCTCCTTGACCGGAGACGATAGCTCGGCGAAGTCATTCAGAAAGTCCTCGCAGAAGCTCTCCGGGGAACACAAGCCTATCCCTGCAGATTCCGCGTCCCGGACAAGCCGGATCTTCTTTGATATTTGCCGGGATACAATAATCGTATATCAATGGAGCACGATTGCATCAGGAATCGGTGCGAGCTTGCAACCGTGTCCTCACATGTTGGGCGACCCGTTCTGTAACAGGTCGACTTTCACCGTATCCGACAAGCTTTAAGACATTGTACTGCTGTCGGGGCATCCGTGAGAAGGAAGTAATGCCTGTCCGTTTCGAACCCACCGTGATTACCCGGGTCACGCCATGGACGAGCGTGCGAAATCGTGAAGTTCCACATCGCTCTTTGGCCCGGAGAGCGCGCAAGAAGGGAGAAACGTCAGAGCGCCGATTTCCTTCTGAGACGACAACCTGTTCCAAAAATGATATCATCCCTCCGAGGTGGCTCGTCCCGGGTCGGAGTCGGCTCTACGAGGCGGGAAACTGGCTGAATTCGAACGGAAACGCGAACGTGTTCAACTATTAACCAGCTCCGAAACGCCCTTCGGCTCAATGTGCATCCGCAGCTTCTGGAGGTTTCTTCTGTTCGCCCATCGGGATTATAATAGAGCCGCGATGCTTTAGTGATTCAACATGCTTCGTTTGACTGGCACAACAATTAGCAAAGGTCATATCGTCCCTTCTACAGTCTGAGTCGAAGGCTAGACGGCAGTCAAAGTTGACGAATTCCTCAAGTTTCTCCGGAGAGGAGTTCCTCGTTAGCGGGAAAGCCGTTCCAGGACGTCGCTGTCCGTTAAACGAAGTCGAGAACCAGTGAATGAGAACTTTTCCGCCGATAGGGCAGTCGACTCTAACCTCAGCCCAGAGATTATGCCCTCGGCAGACCCGGTAAGGAGTTTGAACCACTTGATGGATGTGTATTCATCCTTGCTCAAGGGAGCCCTGCTATGACATTCAACAGCTGTGATGTGGATGCTGGTCTGCGGAAACACCCACCTCGACTCAATCCACAGTTCACTGGGTTCCGTAAGCCGACCGGAAGAGGGACGAATTTGACGTTTCCCACATGATGATTCGAATTAAGCTCAGGCATTAAATAGTTTCCTCACACTCGCGCATTCTTTGCGCGCAATCACTTTCGGACGACTGTTTCAGAACAAAGAAGACAACAATGTGGCTCCTCAAAGTTAAAAATATATATACATTCATTCGTTGCACCTCTTCCACCCTTTAATTGCGCTAGCGTAACATACGTTACACAAGAGGGATTTGCGGTCGCGTTCGGAGGATATTTTCAGAAACAACTTTTTCGGAAGGGAATTCTTCCACTTGGATATACCCTCAACTAGATTCTTGCCGATGCCGAGTTATCTCATTAATTTGAGCGAGACCTCTGATTTTCTCCGGTGACTTCCCGGTGTCGATACTGTTTCCCAACAACGGCAACAGAAATTGTTTGACCTTTTCACGAGTCGGGCAGATGTTGCATCAATGCACGAGGTGCGGATAACCTTTTTTGTTTCTCCTCTCGAGATATTCAAAACGCGAATGAGTTTGCTCAAGCTGATTCACAGAATATCGACGGTGGTTTCTGCCAAAAATATCCGAAGAGCGCCGGCAGTCGCGGCGTCAGCTGCCATCGTTGATGATCCGACGTTCCTGTCTGGAACTTGGCGAACCAAGAACCTAGTTGACGTGATTTTTTTGGAGTTATATCTATGTACGTACATCAAAAGCAAATAAACGGGCATGTCAAGAAAAGATACAGGGTATTCTGATGTCCGCTCATCGAGCAGTGAAATGACACGCGGATCACGAATTTCGGAAAAGCGACTCTCAGCTCCTTCTGGGACCCTCCCCTCAATCGCAGCTCGCACGGATTTTTCTCTATCCCGGGCACTCCCCCCCCTCCCGCCTCGTCCGTGGCCGATCTCCGTATCGGTTGATTATATTAGGCATGATGATTATGAAAGTCCTTTTAGTGGGCGCTTACGGTACTGATTAGCGGAAGAAACCGTGGGAAAAAAGAACTAGGCAGTCGCAGATGCCATCGGCTATCACCCAGACTCATGATTCCAGTCTTGAGTTGAAAGAGAATGAATGGCTAAATAGGAGGGAATATTCTCGCTGCTTTGACCGCCGCTCTCCCGTGTCGCCGTCAAAGCGTCACCGTCGAAACTCTTGTCTGAACGCTCCGCTCTAAACGTCGCTACCGATTAGCGGATCACTCCTTAGAAGAAAACACTTCGCTTGTGTCCCGTGTATGTCTATGGAACAAGTTCGATCCCGAAGCCTTTTTGAAGCGCCGCGTCTGAATAGTAAAGCGAAAGACGGAAACGTCAGTGAGCGACAGATGAAGTTCCGTGAATCGGCGAGTGAATGCGCTTGACGGAAGTTCACTCAATCTTGAGAATTCATCACTTAACCCATAACACTTCATTCTTCGGTTTTCCCGCTGAGCTTTCAAAAATGAGACCCTTGAAATAGCCGCCTCCCGAGCCTGGAAAATCTCGCGGTCGAGTTCGGATGCGTGCCATCATGGCCGCGGGGCTTTCTCCAACGGGAATCCGCGGGCTTTCATCGAATTTCCCCATGAATCGGGGATTCCTCCATATCCTACCCCCTCTCAGGCGATGGAAAAGAAAATCCAGCTGTTCAGACGAGAAGTCGGACGAATTAATTCGAGATCGAGAGGAGAGCGGGTTGACGGTAAGGTTCGAAGTGCCCGACATGTCGGAAGCTGCCGCGATTTTGTAAATCGTCGGTTTTCACCCGAGCTAACCTCCCACCGGGCGAGCATCTGGGAGGGGGGCATCTGAGACGTCACCCGTGTACCCGTCTCGAGTTCATCGATCAATCGATTCAGATCCATTGCGGAGTGCAATTGAGGTCGATCGCCCATCATGGGGGCTCCCCGATGTTCATTTCATTCCAGAAGAAACTCCGCACGTGTCTGTCGGGTTAGTCAGCCGGAGCTGATCACAGAGGAGTCACAGAATTTCCTCAGATGAATCGCTCAAACTCACAGCCGGTGCAGAACCTCTCTGATCTGAGGACTGCCAGGTGTTTTGTAGAATAGTCTTCATTTCGGGGATATCGCCGAGCAATCCATGCGGGTTCATCAGGCGTGGCTGTTCGCCCTTTTGCTCATCGTTCGCCCGTCTGTTATTTCTCGCCTTCCGCTGGACCGCGACAGCACACGGGCAATGGATTCGACGATTTTTTCTCGCTGTCAGTGAGATTGCATGAGCGGATCATGCAGATGAATTCACAGGCGACGGCTGGTAGCGACTCCGTCAATCAGTCAAATCCATGGTGGTCGTTTCGCCACTGCCGCCTATGGCTGGTATGCCGACTACGGTATTCGAATCGTTGTCATCGCAGGGTGTCTGGATGAGTCGACATCTCCAGAAATCACTCCGAATCACGGAGAATCGACTCGTCGTGAGCGCCGTGTCTTTGCTACCGGGGACGCCACAAGGAAATGAGCCTTGAGACCGACCCCACGCAGAGAACGTCATGGCGCCGCCGTCGCCGTACGAATCCGAGAACGCCCTCCGTGTCGCACGGTAGAGTCTGCATTGATCCTATGGTGAAATGCGGAACATTTTTTCTGAGGTCATCCATCCCCCAGACCGCTCCCACAAGTTACGTCGTCGTCGTCGTCAATCGAATGCGACGCGTATCGTGCAGAGATCCGTCCGTACTCCAGAATCTCTACTCCCGCCAAGAATTGTTGCTCGAGAGAGGATGCGTTCGAACATCACCGGAGTGGAGCTGATGACTTTTCATCGAGGGTGGACCGAGCGAACCCGAGAAAATTTCACCTGTCAGCTCCTGACCGGTTCGGCGAACTCGAGGAACGGCGACCGTCACCGTTTTATCTCTCAACTTTTCAGCGCACTTTTCTCTCCTTCGCGCGAAGTGTATTTTTGCGTTCCGTTCGAAATGACCCTGACACCTGGCAGCGTCCAGCACAACAACGATTTGTAGAACTGTTTGTTCGTGTTTGTTCTATGTTTTCACTTCATGCATCGACTTTTTTTTTTAGCATCGATGAGCCTTGTCTTAGAATCTTCCTTTTCGGAGAAGCATTTTATTCATAGCCCTTCGCCCGAAGCGTCTTACGGGATGCGCGGAAGGATCAGATTCTCTTTCAGCCAATATAACTTCGGCACTCCGCTCCGAGCAGATGGGAGGTGGTCGGACAGAAACACCGCTGTTCAAATTGACGAAAACTCAGGGAGCAAGAATCAGCCGGTCCGACGGCTCAATAGCAGCTTATAGTTCCAAGGGAGGATACGCTCCTGCAGAGCGACGAGAAAAATCGCTGAATACGGGATTTCCCCGAAAATATCATTTGTCTCGTTGCGACATCGAGCGTCCTCTTTGTTCGACTTCGTTGCCTGCTAAATACCAAGGACCTAAAGCTCAGGGTTCGCATGAAAATCACAGCACTCACGCTCTCCGCACTGTGTGCTTTTTGAGAGCACGAATGTCCCCTGATCGAAGATGAAGATGGCATGGGAAGGGTCGTGTGGACGATCGCGAAGATTCGCGAGCTACCTTTTGTAACGTGAGACGTATGTACGTTCGTAGGGAGCGTAGTTTCGGTGTTATGATGCAACTATCTCACACGGTGCCGTGACACGCATCGAAAGTAATTCGCGAAAGTCGAACGAACAAAAGTCTTGAACGATAGGTCCCCAAGAAGCCAGAAAATAGAGTCCTACAATTCACTTAATCTCTTGAAGGAACTCACCTGTGGAATGCTCTGTTGAGCGCCCATTGAAGAAGCTGGGGGTTAACTTGGGCTCTTTGCGCCGATGCGAACGGTTCAGCCAGACAACACAGTATTACCAGTGGAAACAGTAGCAGGTCATTCATCGCTAATGACCCTCGACGCCACTGATTGATGGATTGATCACTTCAGAGCACCCTTCACAGGCCTCCACGGCCACCGAAACGTAGTCGTACGTCCGCCTCGCGCAATCGAAGAGCAACCAGCACGAAATTCACTTAACCAGTTTCGCTTATTTGCTTACTTGTCTGCCTGGTCGCTCGTTCCCGGGCAGCGATAGCTCCTCAACTGAATGACTGGCTGCCTGCACGGCTTTCTTGCTTGTTGGCTGGCTGGCTGACTGCCCGCAGTGGCAACTTGTCTCTTGCCACCACTCACTTGATGATGACCCTTCCCCACGGCTTCTTCTCGGTTTCCATCTTCTGCTTAATCTGTGCTGCACTTCGCCCTCTCCCGGCTAATCGCACTGCTCTGCCGAAGCCCCAGCACTCGTCGGGCACTGGTGATGGGTCGCCGCCTGAACGCTGCATCCGAAGATGAGCGCGGCGCATCTGCCCAGCCGCTGCTGGCACAATCCCACTTCGACGCGAACTTCGTGTAGGAATCCGACGGGGAACTTGAACGGATCCACTGAACTTCGCGAGCTCCGGCACCGATGACCGACACGCTTTCGAGAAACAATCAGTCCACGGCGGCATGCGCTTTTCGAGTCTCCTTCGTCGCACCCAGATACGAATTTCAATATCAGAATTCAAGGAGGAGAACGGAGCTCATCGCCGCGAATTGAAAAATCCGGTTTCCCTCCCTCGATCTGTGAAACGTACAGGGTCAAGACGGATTATCGTCGATCCGGTGAAAACGTTCACTATAAATTTCGAAGACGTAGATGCGCTCTCGCTGCCCCGAGCGCGGTTCCCCGAATGTAAATTGTTCTTTCGTATGTAGATTCGAGAAAGAAAAACGCGCCGACGGAATCCTCCCGTGAATGGTGAACTGATCGGACCACGGATCCTTTTCATTTCACCGCGCTGCCAAGAAAAATCTCCGCTATACCCAGGCATCCCGGAGCTCCCCTATCTCGAGCTCGGTACGAATATTCTCCCGAAATCCGGAAATCCTGGGCCCTGCTGATACGCCCACATACTCATATTGATCCGGGATAGTATTGACGGAATCAACGGACCCGATTTGGAGTCTTTCATCTTCTCAAATTTATTGACCAAGAGTTCGATCGAGCTCTCGTGTCGGCCGTTGTCAAATATTGGTATCTTCGTTTCTTGGAAGCATCTGTTCCGACGAAGTGGATGAGTTCCCGCGTCGGCGTCGCGTCTCCAATGTCAACTTCACGTCTGGCTGCGTCCGACTTCCGCGAAACTTTCACCTCGGCGCCCGCGTAACGGCTTCCCTCGACATTTCGGCCAGCTTCAAACGACTCTCGTCTATTTTCCGTCTGTAACTGCCCGAAGATCGATTTCTACGACTTGCCCGACATTGACTCGGCCCCCGATCCAGTCCTGGAAGAAACGTAAGCGAAGAGATCTCCGATCTAGATGACTGTCTTCGAATTTTCGAGGACGAAATCCCTGCATGGATTGTCCCCGGCACCGAAGATCCGTTGGCTTATTAGGTGATGAATCGGAAGTCCAATCAGAGCACCCCGCGCGAAGAGCCACCCCCACAGAAGTTGTCTCCGAAGCGAGCTCGAATCACCTTCGCCGGACATCAAGGTTCAGTTCATGGGATGGAGAGTATCGCTTTCATCTTCGGCGACCTCCTCGTCATCTCGCACCGTTGAATATCCGGGTTTCGAAAGTCGGAGAAAATCGAGGGATCTGCGACCAAGACATGCGAATCCCGGCTGGCACTTCTGGGTGACATTGGAGCCTGAGGCTTTTTCCGCAGCTCACGGGGATCTAGGAATGCCTGAGGCTGGGGAGTGTTGTGGGTTATTGGAAGTTTTCCGCTCATATTCACGGATACTTCGATCTCTGGAGTTCGGATTCCGAGCTCTCCTTTAATATATCGAATATTGATCTGAGTTTGGCGATGGTTACTTCACAAAGAGTCTACAGCGCGGTGTATCGACCAATTTGGCTCCATGTTCGCGATTCGGATGGAGTATGGGAGCGGGTGATCATTCTTGAGAGCCTGAGGCTCCCCACCCGCCTCGAACAGGCCCCTAGTCCCAGAAGATCCCAACGGCGACCTTGTGAATTGCCCTGCGCCTGGTGACGTTGCCGCTGACAAGGTATCAAGGGGAGATGACGATGGACATGCATCATTAATCAATGACGAACCTTCGTCGGCTATACGGTAATTCATCCAGCATTCCCGAACTCCTTAATCGGAAAATCTTGAGGGGGAAGGCTGATTTATCCTAGCTGACAGAAACGTAAGATCCCGGAAATAGAACGCACTCGAAGAAAAACACTCACTCATCATACACTGAGGTTACTCTAACAAGATCGCTCGATTGGGTACTTCTCGTTCCTGCGGCCAAATGAATACGGGTGCGATGGCACCCCTCCTGTGGCTACCGATATTCTCAGCTATTCCGACAGCTGAGATCGTCGGGACCGGTTCGATGCACGTTCGCATTCGGACCCCAATACGATGAACGCCTCCGGTTGCACGCGTGGGAGCGACTCGAACGGGACACCTTTTGAAATTCATTCTCACTTGACCGAGACTAATTGACTTCAAATAAACTCTCGTCTCGAACGCCCGGACCAGACTGCAGTCTTCCATTCGAGTCGGCTGTTGGCTCGATAATTACAATGAGAAGAATGAGCTACGTTTTCGCGAAGACTACCGAGAAGAAATCGCAGGACTCCCGGAGACAGAGCTCAAAACTGACCGGAGGCTGAGCAGATAAGCCTGATATGAGGCGCCGCGTTGGACCCGGAGAATCAGCACTCAACCCGTGCGATACCTGAGGACTGTTTGGGTAAATGCTAGCGTTCTCCTCCGAAGGAAATCTGGAGAAACTGTCCACGGAAGAACAGGACTATTGGTCGCTCTTGCCCGGGGTCTCCCCGATTCGCTGCGTGAACCATTGGCAGTCTTCGACGACATCGAATCTGCGTTTGTAGAATTCGAAGCCGAGAGGAGCGAGCTTCTGCCAGCTTTAGTTCGCCAGAACATGCTATACTATATGCAGTCCCGGAACCCATGAGGACATGGATGATAGCGTCATTGTCGTTGCTCAAGACTCAGATCAAGCCGATTCCGGAGGGAACAGAGGTTTCCAAGACGAGAGAGTACCAGTTTCGCTCCGTCTGCTCGATTAGAGCTCGGATCTCGAGTCAGACGGTCGAGTCCTCCTCATGTGTGCCTTCGGGACGCCGCCCTCCGAATTACCTGGTAGAGAATCAGGAGCGGATCCAGCTTTTTTTCTTGGGGGGGCCAAGTCATATTTTCAGGGGGGAAAGAGCCGAAAATGATGACGCGCCACCTCGCGGCCCATGCTTTTGTATAGGGATCGAAGATTCTTGGGGGGGGCCATGGCCCCCTGGCCCCCCCCCCTGGATCCGCCACTGTAGAGAATACTGATTTCGTGATGACATTGATTTTGAAGCGCTTGTGATTCACCTCTAGGCGACTGCCCCACCCCTAGCTGCATACGTTACAAATTATAGAGCCCACTTCGGCGGGTCTCGGAATCGGAAATGCTTTTATTCTTTCGGTCAGCTTTGTACACACGGGGGAGGGGGGGGAGTTCGGTCCGATTGAGCAGATCGAGCAGGAAAGCACCCTCCGAGAGAAGGGATCGCTGCGTCTTTCGGGCGACATGCGACATCTACTTCGCGAATTCAAACTTAGAAGAACTCTCCTGACGTGAAGCTCGTTTTCTTCCATTAAGACATGGACTCTGAAGGAAATGCAACGGACAACAAGAAATGCCCCTTGAGTTCTTGGCGAGCTTCTTCACCTGCGGGGGATCGAACGCGAGCTCCGAACTTCTCCGCCGAGACGCGCTGGTGGCGCGCTTTCGAATGTCGGACGTCTAATAAGTGCGCGAGCTAACGATAGAGCCGCTCGCGCACTCTCGATTCAACTTATATGGATAAAAAATCACGACTGCGAGCATGTAAGTCCGAACAAGCGGAGCTGTAATCCGATGAGGCGGAGTAATTTGAATGGCGTGATTCGGGGCTCCAGCTTTCGGTCTGAATATGCGGTCGATGCGATTGAAGAAGTCCTTCGTATCCTAAATCTCAGCCTCGTTTTCGGGAAATCGGAGAACGTCGACACTGAGCCATGAGATGCGACATCCGGTATCGTCTCCTTTCGCCACGCGTCCCGAGATTTGTGCCCGCAGAGAACTGACCGATACAGGTCCGTGGAAGCGAACTTCACAGCAGAAGATGCATCATCTAGCGCGCACGACCTGTATCTTCGAGGTAATGGGGAGAAACATATTGAAACAGGAGGAGTTACCCCGCATGAAGATCCGGTGATGTCGTAACAAGTTTACTTCTTTCTAGAGGGTGAGTTCTTGATAGCTCAAGCTCTTCAACTTTCCGCGGGAAGAGGAGTTCAGCGAAGGGAAGGCGTCTATATACAATCGTGAGTTCGAATATGGGTGCGGAATCGACGACAAGAATACTAATCGTCTCCATCTGTCGGAATTCAAGCTAGGAACGAGGAGATCTGTATGCAGCATTTATTCTGCTGCTCTCCAAACAATGAATTCGAAGTTCACATGACTAGAAAAAGGCTTCGATCGACGGAATCCTCGCCTCAGACGTCACCGTCGGCGGCTCAGGGGAGAGTCCAAACCGGCTGGGATTCGAGCATATGCATCGTCTGTATATCTCGTTTCGTCAGAGTCCTGTTTGTTTCGTTCCCTGTAACTGAGTTCTCACGGAAATTAGTTCTCGCCGCTCGTCTCATATCCGACTCTGCGAAATCACGTAGAACTCCGATCTAACCCGGGTTCTTCAGGCGTTGAAGGGACGAGAACAGATGACCTTGTCCGGGCTGTAACAATTGGGGTCGAGGTATCGGCTGTCCCCAGGTCTGGAAGTTCAGAGGGACCAGGCTGAGAGCCGTGAGGAACGGACCGAACACAGTGATGACGACCAAGGGAGCCAGCATGGCGATGAGGAACGCGATGCCTGAGAGTGAGGAGGATTTCGGAGATTAGATTTATCATCAGCTTGGAAGGAAGTTCCGCCTCGATATCAAGCTTTTCTCAGTGATTCGCCTCCGAGAGACGAACGGAGGACTCGGCGCTCCTCTGATTGAAACCCTCACCAATTTTCTTGACGTAGAGAGCGGTTATTTTCGCCTTGATTATGCCGTTCTTCACTCCTGATATCTTCTGTCCTTTGTTATGCTTACGGCGATGTTTGTGGCGAGGTCTGCCGCCTTGAGGCGACCACTCATTGAAATTATTGTCGAGATTCCAATTCTGTTCCCGGTACCAATGGGCCAGATCTTTCCAATCCTCATTCCCTCCGATCATGGAAGACGACCCGAAATGCGACGAAAAGTCATTTGAGCTGAAAGCATTCGAAAGCGAAAAGACGATGGTTAGAATTATTTCCTGAATGATCACTAGGAAGTGAATCCCATTCCCGGGGAAAGGCGCGCCCGATCGATACTCTAAGTCATCTCGTTTCCGGGTCCCTCCCGTCGCACGAGGGGCCTCCGCCGGGGCTTGTATGTTCAGATACATCGGGAAACCCGTCTCGAGGATGAATTGGACACGAAGCCGGGGATACCGTCGAGAAACAAAAGCGCGCAACAGGTCGATTTCCCGCCACAGATCCCGCGATCCGAGGATGAGATGAGGGATCTGTTATCAGTAGGGATGTGAAAATTCCGCGGCAAAATATCGCTGGAATCGCGGTTAGGAAGCTCGGAGTCTGCGGGAAAGCCCGAAATTCCCTCGAAATTGCGTGAAATCACAAAACTAGCTCCGGAGCGAAAACAAAAAAGCTTCTACAGTTCGACCCCGGTGGCGAGTCTCAATCCGGCCGAGCTCGTGGCCAAGCTGAAGCTAATTGCACGCGAAGTTCTTGCCCATTCGGGGCATAAACCGCAAGGCTCGCCTTCCGCGCATCGAGGAGACGTATCGATCGCGTTCACCCCCGATCACGTTCCAGTCATAAATCCTTCATGCTCTCTGAATGCCCCATTGAAAAATGAGGGCACATGGAATACACGAAGGGAGAAGAGAATCGATGAAAGTGTTCCCGGTATTCGCATCTTCTTATCGATAAACTTTGCTTTTTTGAGCTCGGCGAAGCTCCCATCCCCACGGACATCGCCGTATTCTACTTACTCGTAAATACCTCCACCGAGGTTAGTACTCGCATAGATTTCATTGTGGACTCCATCGGTTTCCGAAAACCAGTTGCTTCCACCAAGAGAAGAGGTATCCGTTCCGTAGTGCTGCAGTGATTGAGATGGCATCTCGGGTAGCTGCTGGACGGGAGGAGGTTGGATCTGAGACTGAATCGGCGCTGCAGAAGTGGACGGAGCGACCGGAGGGGGCATCGTCACAGCCGATATCGACGCGACCGGCTGATTATTGTTGCCGTTCCCGTTGGTATTCTTCAAAAGTTTCTCTAGCAGCTCTTTGTGATCTTTCTCCCGCTGGAGCTCACGCTCTTTTTCGCGCAAGCGTTCCCTCTCTCGGTCTAGCTGCTCTCTCTCCCTGAGCCTTTCTTCTCGATCTCTGTAAAAACTCTAATTCATGTGGATCTTTAATTACTCAGGCTATTCCTACTCTATCCTAGCGGATATTGTCTCTTCTTCACTCTGTCTCTTCAGAAATGAGACCTGCGCCATCTAGATTGACTATGGGAACTTCGACTCGAGTCTCGACCGCCCTATCACCGAACGATATGCATGATCCTCTCGCTCACTGTGCGCCTGGATCGCGTGAACTCTCATTGTAGAAAACCCAGCGGTGCATTTGAAAATGTGCGGCTCGCATGTTATCCCGGTTCTTATCTATGGATGTGTTATCTGGAAATATTTTACAGCGCAGGGGCTCGACCGGCAGGTGAGGCATAGGTGTGGTGGAGGCAGCGACGCCTACGAACTGTATTATGCTAGAGAATTACCCGAAGAATCTGATATCGATTGCCTGAGACGAATCATCAAGCTGGAGGGTTTTTCTGGAGATTACACCCTCGGCGAATCAAGCCTGTCATGGCCTTCCCCTCATTCATTAAAAATAAGAATGAATGTGAGCCTCCTTACGTTTCCTTTCGGAATCGCCGACTTCGAGATTGCGCGAAGAGAAAAGAAGCTGCTGATTTCATGCGAGTCTTGACATGGGCAAAGGGCGAAATTTCCCGGAAAGACCGAGGGAGACAGACTGATTCTGAGCAGAATCTAGGACATGTCACGTTCAGAGCAGAGAAAAGCTGAGACGGGGTGAACAAAGTAACGGGTCTCCGGAAGAATGAGGTTCTCAGGCTTTCGTCTGCTCAAGCCGTCACGGAAGTTCGTGTTCGACACTGCGACGAATCGACCGTTTCTCATATCCATCTCACTTGTCCAGGTCGATCGACTGTTCTGCGCTATTGCTTCCCACGCGGAATCCCCTAATCTGGGGAACCCTCAGTCTTGGAGTCATGGACTTCGAAAGTATGTCCCTCACTCCGAGAAAGAGACCCGTAAACGTCTCTGGAGGAACGACCTGGCCTGCTGCGAGTTCACACGCACTAACAAACAAACCTTTTACGTTTGTAGTAATCGTGATCAACGTACTCGTCCTCATCTTTCCAGTCTTTGAAGCGATCCCCAACGCGTTTTCTTACAGATTTCGCACTGACCGAATCACTCAATCCGACCGAGATGATGAAGAACACTGCGATCACCGCACAACAGACATTGGATCCTCTTATCTTGGGAAACATGCCGATCCGATGCCGAGTAGGGAACTTCCTCCATCCATCGATCGACCGATTCTTCCGATCTGAATCCCTTATATACCCTCCCACGATGACTTTCCGCAGCCTCCCATCTCCCGACAGCAGGAAGACATATTGTTCTAAGCGAGCCAAGCATGCCCAGCACTGCTTGCCACTCCCTAAGGAACCTTTACGAAGGAGCCTGCGAACGGGGAATTCGGATCGATTTGTTAATTACGACAAATCAAGAGCTGAAAACCAGATGAACTTCTCGACAGAGCGGATCCCAGGTCTGGACGAGTTCCTGGACTTGTTCTTGATCGAGATTACCAATCAGGCAAGTTCGTCCAAATAGTGATCCTCGACAATTGTCATTCTCGTCCTGAGGCTTTCGCCTTCATCGACGAGGTCTGCGGAAAATTATGGATCGAAGCATCGACATGTTGCAGAGTATAGCTGGTCAGTCCCACCGCGAAGTGAGGCGCGTTCCATCTCAGGACAGGAGATGTGCAGTCCTGGGAAATTCTCGACCGACCTGTCGGATGATCGCTCCGACTCGCTTCAAGAACCCTGGAAGTGATGAAATATTGGGTGGATCGCTTCTATCGGAGGAGCTATCGGTGAACAATGGTGACACAACTATTAGAATGCACACTTCAATGGGGGACTCGGCTATGACTGAGTGAGTTACTAAGGTTGTTGTGTCAACGGCGTGAATCGACCACATTCCGACGGTTTCGGAATGGATGTCCCCCCGACGTCGGTCCCTATCCTCTTGGCGTCTTAATGGGGGAGCTTTTACGAGTCTCGTTTCTCGGGCAACAGCTCCGACGATCCTTGCAGGAATCCTGCGTACCGGTCGGAAGAGGTCCGGAAAATCTGCCTCGCCGAGGCGTCTCCCAACGGGCGCCTCCACAGAACAGATCGTGTAGTAGGAAGCTCCGCACAGTGATGACAGCTTATCGAGAGAATTTGATGCTGGAAAGAATTCGACATATTCCTTGCGGAAGTTTCGCATCCAGTCGGGAATGTCGATAGAAGAAGCATCCTGCTGCCTGCGAATCCTGTTCAAGTTCGTGGGACCTGCATATGGATCCTCTGGATTCTACTGAACGAAAGTATTCTCAGTCGGCATAGTCCGGTGGTTTCGGGAGACAGCCTGTCCGACGCAAAGCCGGGGTACAGCGTACAATGTGGGGCCATCATTTTTTCTGCTCACATCCTCACGCTCAATCCCGACGAGCCGGTCCGCTTATGACACGTTACTCATCTCGTATCTAAGTAGGATCTCTGGCGGTTCCGTTCCGCCAGGAGAAGCGGCTCTCTTCAGAGAAATTCCCTTCGTCTCGAACTTCTCCGCCGATTCTGTCAGCTTTTGATGACGTTCGTCCGGAGTTCTTCCCGCAGTTGCTAGACCTTAGGATGGAAAAACTCCTCCACCTCGGTTCCGGGGCTATTTTTTCTCCATTTTTCGCAGTCTCCGGAGAGCTTGGTCAAAGTGAGCGCTCAGGGAAGATGTTTGTTTTGACAAGAAATTCATATCACGGAATTTCGCGAGGAAATGCCCTGATAAGCCGAGTCCCATTCCCTGAAGCCCCATCCCCCAGTAGGCTCTCCTTCGATGGCAGATGACGCACTCGGATAGCCGGAGTGGTTGCGAATGGGAGGACTTCGTTGATTCGGATGACGACGATTCGAATGTCCCTCAGTGGAGACCACTAGAGCTCCCGCGAAGAGGTTTGATGTCGCTGCAGCCCGCGGAACTTCCATCCGAAACGGCTGGATCCCAATCACGACGCTACTCCTTGGGATTCAATCGAGAACAATTCTAGGGGCGGCTAAGGCGGTTCGAAATAACGACCAGCTTTTGTTTCTAAAAAACCGTAGGAGGGCCGGCGCCCCCGCAGAAACACCCGCTCCGAGTGAGTGAAGGGGTCGAGGTTCTTGGAGCTCCTAAAAATATTTTATTTCTCGGAAGCATTACTATTCATACCACGCCAAATTTGGAGCGACTATCCGTCGGATACAGCTGATAAGCATTGGCACTTTCCGATTGGCCTCATTATAACCCCCTGACGGCGAATGGCCATCGACCCTCTGAAGAAACGTCTGACATGCATGAGAGCCTCACAGGCATGCTCCAGAGGTATTCCCGAGCACAAACATTTCAATGATATTTGTTTGAATAGATTCACACAGATGGTTCGACGTAATTTCCGGGGAAAAGACCTTGAACCCCGTTCATGACGCCCTCATACCAACCGTCGTCGTTCTTTTTAATGACATAAATGATCGCGTTCTCCGAAAAACTCAATTCGTCCGCTTTGTCCGCCTGGTAATCGTAAACAGCGACAACTTTCTCAAGAAAACTAGTTGGCGCCCAAGCTGGTTCAGTAGAAACCCTATTCTTCGAAGTATCTGACGACGAACTTGGCGGAGGTGGAGGGGTCGGTGACGAAAGTTCTTCTGGAGGTGGAGGCAAAGGAGGTGAAACGTTGCCAGAAGAATGAGCGCTTGAGGGCACCGGCGGCGGGGAAATTACGTTTGACTGAGGAGCATGAGCCATCATGGTCGGTGGCGGCGCGGGCAGCGATTCCTGGGTGTTGACTGGATCGCTAATATGGTGATGCGGATTATGATGATTTTGAATACTGCTCAGGTGACCGCTCATGCTCATTCCAGCCTCCTAGAAAATTCAAGTTTCACGATTTTAATGATTTTAAGGATGTTCCTCGGTTTGAAGAAAAAAGGTACCCCCGACAATCGGAGATCGGTTCCGGAGAGAGAACGGCGCATCACCGTGACTCACCATGGGTTGTGCTTGATGTGCTCCCGAGACCATCATTCCTTGACGATAATGAGCCATTTGCTGGGGCTGCTGATGCATCATATGTGATGTGTGGACGGGAGCTGGCAGCGTGCTACAACTTGAGTTGTTCCTCCGAACGTTTTGGACAGCCATAGGATAGTTCGTCGCGTACGTGTTCGGCAGCTGCGGAGGAGCTATGGCGGGAGGGGTTCGATAGTCGACGCGTCGTAGAGTGCCCCCGCTGACGTTCATCTGGCCCATGGACATCTGAGACATCTGCTGGGTCGGAGGGGTAGGGGGTTTCTGTGTGGGCGCTGGTCCCGCAGGTCCCGGGCCCGGAACAGATGACGACGAACTCCTCCGGGGTCTGGGAGCAGTTTGACTGTAGTTGATCGCAGCCATCTGATGCCGGGATGCGTGGCCAACTCCGTCCAGAATACTGTAGTCAATTGGTTTTCGCACGTATTTTATTGGTTTCTCCTGGTTTGCGGGCGCAAGGATTTTGTGTTGCCTGATGGTGTTCTTGTTCGTCGTCAGAACTCCGATTTCCCTCCTCGCCACTTTTTCTTTGTGAATAGATACGGTCTGGGCTATGTGGTTCACCTGGAACGAGCGTCTAGCGTCAGTACTGGGAAGCAACGAATGAATTCGAAGATGAACGGTGCATGGGTTTGAGTCTCTCGCTGCGGAGCACGAACCTGCGATTCTACGCTGGACAAGTTCGCCGTGTGTAGATCCAAGAGATGCAGAAGATTGAAAGCCAATGTATTGATCTGGTAGGCGACGGACGCCAACGATTGAGTCGTGTATCTGTCAGTCGAAGGACACGAAATCACATTAGATCGGGGTAGCTAACCAGGCTCCTCGGGTTTGAATATTTGATACCATGGAGGACAATTATCCCTTGGAGGAACTCATAGAACTATCAACTGACCTTTTGCTTTCCTCAAGAGCTTGAGTCTTATTATCCGCTTGGAAATAATTCGCTTCGCAATACTCGGCGACTTTCTCGAGATTCGTGTGAGAATCTTTGATGCTCTGTCTCCCCTCGGGTATGTCTTGCGACATCAGCGTCTGCAGTTCTTCCATCATGGTGAAAGCTACGGATTCAGGAGGGTTCCCATTAGGTTGGAGTCTCAGCAAGAACAGTCTGATGTCGAGCTCGCCTTCAAGACAGCCATGGGGCTCCCTGAGATACGTACTTTGTCCCTATGGTTGGCTTCCTTCAAGAGCTCGGACAGGAAGCAGACGGTGTCCTTCGTTGTTCCCGTTCCGCTCTACGATGAATCAGACGTTAGTCACGACTATAGCGGTTTCCACTTTACAAAAGGCTCTCTACTTCCTCGAATTTCACGGTCGACAACGCGTGGGAATCGCTACTATCTACGACGACGCATTGTATTGATGACACCGATCTAAAGCTGCGGTTAACCGAACACGAATCAACAGTCGGCCTGATAGTCTTCCAGGACTTCGGAGACGATTCTCGGACTCGACGGAGCGCTTCTCCTCTCCCCGTTCGTCGAGTCGATCAAAACAACAACAAATCGCTTCTATCCCCTCCCCTCTCCCCAAGAGTCTTCGATAGCTGGATAACGCTCCCGTCACAGTCCAATCAGGCTTTTATGGCTGGTACCTGGGTATTCGGGCAATCCGTGTCATACCTGGCAGCCGGCTAGCGCTGCGCCGGGCGGTATGACCAAACATGGAAGAGCTCCAGGGACACGTTCGTTTTGCGGGCTTCGTGGCCGGTACCCCTCAAAGAGAGAAGGAAAAAACTCTTTCTCCAGAGGACAATTTGCATCCTGCTCAAGGTCGATCGCGATCGTCCGCGATCCGCGCGTTTCTCTCGGTTGTCTTCCCCGAACGAGAACCCGAGCCGATCGACCGCGTATGAAGTGGATTCATCGAGATCCATCCAGTCCAATGAATGTCTCAGTCGTTTTCGGAAGAGACGTCGCATTTCTGAGGCACCGGGAGCGAACCAGGGATCGCGAGGCCGATGATTCTGAGATTCCGCACTCTTCCCGTACCGAAAGGCGAAGTAGCAGCTATGCTGGATCTCCGCGCAGCGAAAGTGATTTTCAGCTCGGCCATTCAACGCCGGTCACGGATTCAGGAGCTGCAGAGGTCGGCAAGCATACCAATGATATTCTAGAATAATTCTCCGAGCCAAAGTCGATCACCAGTCGTTAAAAACGGCATCAGATCGTGCGACGTGGGAACCTCGGTCGATCCTTTCTCGGGTATCGCAGTCCGAGCTCGAGCTCGGCGGACCCGGGAGCGAGTGCAAGAATGGTGGCTTAGGACTTGTTTCGAGCCTCCACGTCGGTGGGACCCACTCAGCCAGCCAGAAAACAAGACTCTGGACCGGTGAGGATTCATACTAGAGATGAATCAACCTAGAGATAAATCGGCTCCCAAGTCGTCCTGCTCTTCGTTCTTCTCCGACAGCGAGTCTCGGCGAGCTCGACTAGCACTCTGTCTAGATCACACTGTTTTCCTCCAAAGACGTCCGATAGAGCTTCGATATTCGAAAAGCCGATCGGAGCGGATTAGATACGCTCGTCGAATGGGGGTAATACTAGTATTTCGGGCCATCTGATAATACCCCAGGCAACGCATTCGTTGCTGGTGTGTTCCGCATGAGGAAGCGACAATCAAACTTACAATAATGATAATAATAATAATAGCTCACCGTTGATTGGAACTTGGCCAAATAATAACCTGCCGTCCTTGAAAAAAATACCTCCTCTGATGAAGTTGCCTTTGAGAGCGCTAAGAAAACAATGCTGTTAATATGTTTTTCACTCATTGATAGAAAATCATACATTCGAACCAGTTCAGCTTTCGTCGAGTCGGGTAGACGAGGAAGATCCGGAAGAGCGTCCGGATTAGACTCTTGACCCTTGAAAAAGAATAAAACCCCAGCAGCGGGGAGCTGCCACGGCAACACCTGTGGTATCTGGTCCGCTGCCCACAGGGCAGATGGATGGGGCTTGATAAATATTGCTTCTCGGGGGAAATGCCGGCATATATGAAGAAAATGAAAAATACCGGAAAATAAAGTAATGAATAAACATTCAACTATTTATTGTACTCCTCTCACCGCTCGGGAAAATTTGAATCATGATTCAAAGTACACTCTCCAATTTTCAATAGATGAACACTGGCGATTCGAGCTTTCACAATAATAATGCTCTCGAAACATTCATAATGACAGGCGGAAAAGATATGTAACTCGACCGATAGACGTCCGGCGCCGAATCTATGAGAGAAATCGAAAAGCCCAGCGTCATAGTGCTCTTCGGAAATGGGTGGATTATCGCTCCAGGGACGGATGTCGATGAGAGCGATGCGTGCGAAAGCGCACACAGGCTCTCACGATCACGCATTAGGTCACTGTTCGCATGAGCAGCCCATGGCCAGGCTGGAAAGGGGAAATACCGAGCTTGGATAAGTTCAACAGGACTACCCGAAAAGCCTGACGGCGCTCCAGTTTGGAAGAGCTCGAACCGGGCCAGCCCGACAACTTCGGATCGATGGGGAATTAGCGTGAAGAACGAGTTAGTGGAAATGAAGGTTCGCTCTGACCGCTCAGATTTCCTCGAATTCCAATACGAATCTCTTAGCAAGTGATACTAGTGTCGTGAATTTCAGCTCAGCCCGAGTCCGGTTTTTCTATCCGGATCGAACTCGAGGAAGCATCGAATTCGTGATGATTCTATACTCAAGATCTACAGTTCGATGCTCCGAGAGCGAGGAGGTCTCTCCTCTCCTTCTGTTGAGCTACAGCTTCGCTTCACGACAGTTTCACACTGCAAACGAGTTCCGGTCGAGAAAGCATTGAGGCGTCGAATTCGAAAGCTCAAACTCCGCGAGCGCCTGAATCGTTCGACTTCGCTCAGTTCAGGCCGCGTTTGGGAATCAACGCTCTCGGTATGATCTAGCTCAGCGGTTCGGGTCTGCCATCGAGGACAAGGAAGCCCCAACCCGGGAAACATCGCCGATGAAGATTCTGGGGGGACTGGAGGTCAGACAAGCAGGCACAGCATGCGAGTCCGGTTCCAAATTAAATATCCACCCCTTAATCGACATCGAGATGATAAGCCGTTGGGAGGAGGCCACACCGACTCTGCTCGAGATCGAGCTGCTTCTCTCCTGCTCAGCGTATTCCGCCTTCCCGCGGCCAGCGAAGAATTCCACATTCCGATTAGCATCTCCGGTATGTGACGGATATTTAGGGATGAATGAGCACGTTGGACTCGGAGCTTCCGATTTCTCTAGATTCGCAAGGAGACGATGGAAGTCTTGTACAGTCAGATTCGGTCGAGAGAATTTGGGTGAATTGCGATCTGATCTTAAGATGTCGAGGACTCGGTCATATGCAGAGGAGGGAAAAACGCGACAGAGGGACAAAATACGCCTTATACGGCCATAAGATTTTCATATCTATTGGTAAAACGGGGCGAGGGTTCGCTTGCCGTAGCTATTCGGTTGTTGATTGCCGTATCCGATATTTTCGTGGTAAGGCGCTCCGTATCCAGGCATTTCGTTGTGCTCGTACATTCCGTCGATCAGAGGATTCGTGGGCCCCAAAGATTGCACCACGGAGCCCATCGGTCCCATTGAAGCCTTGCCGGCCGTTTTGAATGAGACCTGGAGGGGTTTGCCGGCGTATTGGAAACCATTCAACTGATCGATGGCCCATAACGCCTCGTTGTAGTTTGGCATCGTCACGAATCCGTACCCTTTCGACTTGGTTGTCATTTTGTCTCGCACCACAGCGGCCTTTTCAACAGTGCCGTACTGAGAGAATAGTTGCACCAAAGAGGGATCATCTGTTTCCATTCCAATGTTGTACACAAAAAGAATCGGAGGGCCGACAGGCGCTTGATCGTAGCCACCGCCGCCGCCAATGCCGGCCCCGCCGCCACCGACGTTCTGACTGCCGTGACCGTAGCCACCGGGCTGGCCAATCTGGAAACCGCCGGGACCGTTTTTGTTCATTGGATTGAATCTATGATTCGGCCGGAAATTGTTGACGTATGGCGGTCGTCCGTGCATGGGGCCACCGGCACGGATTTGCTGCTCGTAGCTTGTCATCTGGCGATGCTTTTTCAGTTTCATTTGATCGTCGGCGATCTTTACTTGAAGCGGCTCGGTTCCACCGTTCAGGGTTTTGCCATCCATGTCTTGGATGGCTCTGTCGGCGTTCTCCTTGTCATCGTAAAGAGCGAAAGCGACACCCTTGTTGACGTTCGTTGATAGGTCTCGAAGAACGCGAAATTGGACCAGGCGGCCGAACGTGCCGAAAAGGTTCTCCAACTCGTCGGGATCGAAATTCTTCGGTACGCCTCGAATGTACACATTCGTATTCTTGGAATGGTTCGAGTTCGAGGGCTTTGCGATAGCGACTTTGAGAGTTTTGTTGTTCATCTTGAAACCATTATAAACGCCGATGGCTTTCTTTGCGTCCTCAGGATCGTGATAGTCAACAAAGCCGAAACCATAACTGTAGCCCGTCAGTTTGTTGCGAACAATCTTACATGTTTTGATGCGGCCGATCTGACCGAAAAGATCGTAAAATTCTTGATCACTAAGCTTCTGAGGCAAATAGTTTACAATCAAATTCGAAGAGGACGGCACCTCACCGGGATGTGTTCCGTAACAATTCGACATGTTCGAGCGACCGGGTGACGATCGACTGAACGACTGATCGACTCTCGTTGGAATTCACTCGCGACGGTTATCCTGGGCAAGCGTCTGAGCGGCTCTCACTCCTGACAACTCAATGCGTTCGTGGTCGGGGGTCGGTCAGCTTTACTTTGTCTGAGTGAGTCAGATCTGGTCAACTTCCGTGCGGATTCGAGTGCCTAAACCTGTATCGGAGCGATCTCAGCGGCTGATTTCGGAATCTTGGCGAGCAGCAGCAACTTACTCAGGGGTGTGGGAGGTCACGGCTTTCACTTGTCCAAATAACGTCCAGAACTGCGCCGATAGATCGACCGTTCGAGCACACTCACTTTTTCAACTTTATCGTCGCTCTGCTAGGCTCTTGAAACCTCACACAATTGGGGCGTCGCTTGTGGTACTGTGTGGTTCTACCGATGACTGCATCGGATTGTCGTCTGCTAAAAGCATCACAAATTCTGAAAATCCTCGTTTGCAATAATTATTCGGTCCCGAGAAAAACTTCGCGTGTCTTCCGCTGACATGCGGTTAATTTACAGGATATATCTCGTCAGATTAGATGTTTAGTACATTAGAGATACGCCACCTCGAGCTTCCTCTAGCATCGATCGGCTGAATGAGCGCGCCAAACTGAGGAGAGAAATTCCGAACTGATGGAAAAAGAAGCTTGCAGTCTGACGACCGACGACTGCGGATTCTCTCGCTGAGAATCAGTGATCCATCTCGAGTTCCCCCGTCCATTACGAAATCCACGCTTATGTATACAGGCCGACTTTCGTAGCATGTTCGAGTGCGCGATTACTCCCGCGCAGGCCTCGCGATTCGAAATCGATCATAGCTCCCTGAGAATAGCACAGGGAACTGTGAAAGCTTGTCTGACCGCAATTCCGGTTACGACTCCATCATATAGTCGAAAATGATCGAGCGTACGTCCTCAGTCCACTGCTCTGACGCAGCATCTGTAGCTCTGGGGCTTCCCCGCGTGAAAACTGCTCATGTGGTCGACGATCTCTTCCACAAACACAGAATTCCGACCGAGTTTGAAAGTGGAGATGGACACCGCGGGACAATATATTTCTCTTGATTGATCTAGCGAAGGACCGTTATTTCTGTGAACCCATTTCCGTCGCGTGGATTTCAAACTGCTTCGCCCAGACCTGAACGAGGCGAGCTCCCTCCGCAAGAAAACTCGGATCAGCTCTCAGACCGCTTCTCCTCGAGTCTGTTGATGGACACTCTAATGAGAGAGTGCCGAGGATCCGGGGGGACCATGATTCCATGATGAATGATGACAGAAGAAAATAACCCATTTGGTGGCGTTTCCATCAAAACAAGAGCGCGGCAGCAGCCGAAACAAACAGTTCGGGCCGGAGTGTTGGGGACAGCCACATGACCGCGAATGGTCCCACACGGCTCTCTCTCGAACGATGAAGTCGTTACGACACGCTTCCGATACTACAACACACAAACGGGAATCGCTGGATCGAATCGCGATTCCTCTCTCGAGTTCTGCTATATTCGGCCGGTCGTCCGCAACTCCCCTCGGGTTCGGGAATCTCCCTCAAGGCTCGCGTGGTACATTTTTGGTCGCAAACGTACCACCTAGGCTGGATTCCGGTTTCGAAATGCCTTTTCTCCCGACCACGTTGAGTTATCGGCGTCGAGTCTAACTCAAAAATCGTGAAAATGGCCCCTCCGCGTAAAGGGAAACAAACCCAGGAAGCCCCAGTGCTCAACCTCGGTCCCCAGGTAGGCGTGAACGCAAAACCGTCGCCGACTCGATGCCATGAGCGCGGATATCAAGCATGTTGTTCCTCGAAAGCGGGGCGACCAGGCTCCGGCCAGTGTGACGGACGGTTGAATCCTCGAGAACCTCACACGAAGCGACTTCGACTCCTTGCTGACATTGTCTGTCCCGTTCCCAGGTAACGCCAGGTCAAAATGTCTTCGGCGTCGCTCACATCTACGCCTCCTTCAACGATACATTCGTGCACGTCACCGATCTTTCCGGACGGGAAACCATCGCTCGTGTAACTGGCGGTAAGTTACAATTCCTTCTTCCTGCCCATGAAGTCTCCCCGATATTTCCCGCCATGCGGGATCTTAAGCATTAGGTGATCAGAACCGAATCAGTCGGTTCGCTTCTTCCCCGGTCGATTTCACGCGGGATCGTCGCAAGCTGTTCAGAATCACGCCAGCACCATGTGGACTACGACAAGGTGTCTCTTTCAGGAATGAAGGTAAAGGCTGATCGAGATGAATCTTCCCCGTATGCTGCTATGTTGGCCGCTCAAGATGTGGCCGAGAAGTGCAAGGCTGTCGGCATCACTGCCCTCCACATCAAGCTCCGCGCTACTGGAGGTAAGCTCTCTTTCTGATAAACTTCCTCGTGCATCCGTGTCCCCTCTATGAAGAAGCGTCAGCACTGACGGACTTTTCCCCGCTCTCGACAGGAACTCGCACGAAGACGCCCGGACCCGGAGCTCAATCTGCTCTCCGTGCCTTGGCTCGATCCGATATGAAGATCGGTCGTATCGAAGATGTCACTCCCATCCCATCAGACGCTACGAGGAGGAAGGGTGGTCGTCGCGGTAGAAGGCTGTAAACTTCATCAAGGCAATGTTGGATGTGCTCGGTGTTCGACTACGCCTTGTCGCTTGGAGCTACTGCTAATAAACCGGTTTGGTTTATGGAATCGCTGCTGTGTACTATCTTCGCGATGGGACTCGCTGTTCTCGAAGAAATCGTTCACCTAGATGTTCTACCCCCCGCCATTATGGGATGTTGCCGCGTAACAAATTGAAAAAATTTATTCCTCACAACCGCCAGCCTTCTGGAACATGATCCGAGATCCAATCAACTGGTCTTAAAGAATATTCTGGCTGACGTGAAAGCGTGATTTAACAGGGTGAACTCCTTCCTGTAGGCTTCGATGCGCTTTGCGGTTAGGCTGATTGTTTGAGATAGTTTCTCGTCCGAGAAAGAGCTCCGCGATGCCTCTTGACTGGTCTTCAGCTCCTGGAACACGTAAGAGCCGAATGAATTGCGTCTCCCGGAGCTGCTGAGGTACCGAACTCGACGATTAACGTCCGGGAAGAGCTGAACGCACCTCGATGTATTTTTCGTCCACGCTGTTGAACCAGTGGAGACTGTCGAAATTCGTGAATTGCTTCGTCAATCTCAGAGCGAAAGCAACTCCAATCGCGAAACCATCATCGCTGAAAATTGCGTCATTCTTCTGCTTCCTACTCAGCCGCTCGCGACTCTGAACTATGTGCTCAACGAAATTCAAGGTCAACGATGGAACCAGAATGTAGAAGTTCTGGAGATAGGCATTTCTCTCCTGAAAGAAAAAGAAAACTCTCGAATCAAGCGCTCGCTCTCAGTCAGTTCTCTTCGATCTCGGGACGCGCTCTCGAATATTTCATCATCATTTCACTCACATCACAGAATGGCCCTTCGAACGCCTCTATCAGGTGTCTATAATAATCACTGCCCTCAACTCCGCTTTGTTGTTTCAATAGACACTTGATGACGGAGTCGAGATGTTTCGCGGCGTCTGAAACCTAAGCTCCCGGTTGTAAGATCCAATAATTTCCGAGAGAGAAATTGCTTTCTGGAGCATCTACTCACTTCTGTGTGATCTTGAAACGGTGTATCTTTCAAGGTTTCGACAAAACTCTCGTAGCTATCATCAGAAATGTCTGGTAGTAATGCATTTCCCTGAGCACAATATTCCAACGCGCCTGTTCGCATCATTCGCACATATCCCATCGCGTTGCCCACGCTGAAGACGGGAAAAAAGTTGGAGTTCAGAGTCAGGTTCACGGATATGAATGTCGGCTCCCCGTGCTCTTCGAAGCGAAGCTTGCCTCGTCATCAGTTGTCGGAACTTGTCAAGGTATGTGAATCCTTCCGGGGTCATCCCGAGATTCCGAACCGACTTGCAGATTTTCTCAGCGCGTGTAAAAGGGTACTTCTGCTGAAGTGATTCCTTATTCTCCCGGAAATACGCAATGTCCCTGCAAGAATTATTGATTCCTTGGATGAGGAAAATAATAATCGAGAAGAGGAACCAAGAACCTCGACTCGGGGGAACGTTCCCCTCGCCAGAGAGGATCATATGGTCTTCGAGTCGCACGCGTGTCCAATCTCAAAAAACTGACCTCATCAACCGAGACTTGATGTGTTCATTGAACAACAATTGCGACAGGATCTCGAATTGTTTGCGAAGGAATCTGCGAGGCAACAATTTCTGAGTACTCGTTTCCGGAAATGAAGATTGTTCAGTCCATTAAACCTGCTCGGTACCGGTTCCCAAATCATCAAACATCTGAATTCTACAGCCCCTCACCTGTAGACCACGTTGACGGTCGTGTCGGTTATTCCTGGTCCGTGAGTTCGGATCGAATTGGCGATGTGACTGATATTTACCGTGTTCAGGTGCTTATTAGCGCTCACTCGCTCGACAAAAGTCTGATTGTTCATGTTGTATACGAATTTCGATGAGAAACTGTGGGATCGAATCTTAATTGCGCCCGAGCTCCACCCGGAAAAAGACTATCCTAACGGATTCTCCCTACTGCGATATGACTCCATTAATGCTTTGACCCCACCCACTCACCCTTCGATGTTTCTCATCACATTCAATACATCTAGACCCTGATCGAGTGTCTCAGCCGGAAGATGGGACTCGACGGTTTTGGCATCATACTTCAGTTCGGCGATGACTCGCATTTCGTCATATGTGCCCCAGTCATGGAGAGCCACCGTTGTGAGATTGTAGAATATACGTTCAAGGTACCGTTCCACTCCACGTTTCATGGATATCTGGAATCATGATCGGCTGGTCAGGGTCGTTCCCGATTTCTCCTCTGCTCCCGCGTGATTCGTGTTCATGAGATCAAGGCGCACCTTTTCAGTTGGCAGAATGTATTCCGTTTGACAAATGCGCTTCAACTGCGTCTGAATCTGCGCTTTATTCTGGAAGAAGGATATGCAGTTAGGACTTGATTAAATGAAACAGGGACGAGGAACAGAATCCTTCTCTACCGCGGGTCGTTCGAAGAGAGGTCTCGAAAACGTCGATTTTCATCGACAAATATGCGATAATTGATGATAAGGACAGGATGATGCGCTCACTTGTGCGAAGGGGTTGCGGGAGTCAGCCACGAGATGTGTATGCATTTGTATGCGCAAATCATTCTCTATATCCTTACAGAGCGGGTCTACCAAACTTTCGTGAAGTATCTGAAATACGGAATCGATCGACGGAGTTTCTCTTTGAATCGAGGAGCAAATCTGGGCTGCATCCATCCCCAGATCCATAGATACTCACTTTCCCCACGCTAGCTTGGAATTTCTCCGCGCTCGTGATAGTTTCGATCATCGGCGGAGCACTGCCGCTCGTCACCGAAGAATTATTCTTGTACATCTGACTCAGGAATACCTTGGAAGGGAAATTTCTCCGTCAGAGGCATCAGAGGAACAGAGCCGGCAGCATCGAGATGATTGCCAAACGTTCCGGCTATCCCAAAAACCGCGAAAGGAAGCTAGCGCACCTCAAGGAGAACCACATGATGACTGCTCAAGCCCCACATTTCCAGACTCTTCCTGAAGACATTCCCGTAGTTCGCAATCACACTTAGTCTCTTCAGATTCGAGTTGAACGTCTCCGCTTCATCAGGTCGGATGATCTAAGAGTTAGGCATAACATCAATGAATAGTTTCCTCATGTCGGAAAGAGGATTTCAGTGAACCGCTTCTTCGACGAAGACCTTGATCTGGGCGATGTATTCCTTCGCGACGTTGACGCATATCTCCTTGAGCTTGGTGAAAGGTCCTTTGAGCGATGCCTGAAAGACAAGATCCGCCGCTTGGCATGATTCTTGTGTTTCCAGAGGTATTGAAGACGCTACTGCGATTGTCGCACACGTTCCACCTTGAGCACGGAATATACGAACCTCGGCTAGTTTCACGGCAGCGTTGGCATCCAACTTCTTCTTGTCGGTTTTCTTCTCATTGGACATTTTCTGCTTGATCTTCATCACAGTCTCCAGCAACTGATGGTGTAAATTTTGGTCGGCATGGGCGATAGCTTCATCGATCCGACTCTGGAAGAAAAGGTCGACCTTGGTACCTCGCCGAACCTGAGACTGCTAAAAATGATCCTGATCATTGAAAATGGAACAATCTCTGGATTCGAGGTCCGGACCTCACCTGGTATCTCGAGAGACCCTGTTTCAGAGCGTTCAGTACACAAATCATTCGCGCCGCGAATACCAGAGTGCTCTTGCTCATCGCTTTCTTGGCCGATACGTGGAGCGAAACAACCAAGTTCAGGTGCTGGTTGACGCACCGAACTATATTATGACCTTGTAACAACAATTTACACTTGTTCTTGAGCGTTTCGACGTTGTAGTCATCGTCCGATTCCCCGAACGAGGCATCCATTCTCAATAACCAGAGAGCCGTCTGTGAGAAAGGCGTTTTTCGTATAGAGGCCGTTAGGGAGATAGGAAAACCTGTTGCTCGAATCTGTGTCAACTTCGAATCTTTAGAGCGTGCCTGATTCTCGTAGCCAGTCACCTCGAGCGACAGTCGGGGGACCATTTGGATTAGGTAGTAAGATGGCTTGTTCTGCGTTGGGAAGAGGGAGCCGAGCGCCGGTATTTCCCTGGAAGTCAGCGGAAAGGTTCACAAGTATTCAGTAGCGATTCTCCATCACGGAATGTACTCGTTCTGAATATTCCAGCACGTTTTGAGGGAGGAATGAAATCCCAATATGGCTCAATGCAATAAACTCCGGAAAATAGGATCACCTCGTAAAGAAGCTTGGGGCGTCCCAAATGGCATTCCCCTTGAGCAGGACCGGCCCAATTTTCTTGGAGAGGTCCACGATCGTTCTGAAGATCGGCCGATCGGCTTGTTGTTTCACGGTGAAATGTAGGAGGAATAGGCCACACAGACCGACGAATTTCTCAGACCGAAGGAGGATCTGCAGAAATTCGCAGAGGGGATTCTCAGCTTCCCGACGAATGAAAATTCCTGCCGACAAGCGTTATCGACGAGGGAATTCTGGTCGACGCACGGGGAATACGAATATGCTCACCTGCGCCTGGCTCTCGTTGACTTTGGAATCTAGCTCCGCCAGATGAGCACGAATCGTTTCCTTCAACGCATCGGAGAATTTCGGGCTGCTAATCCGAACTCTGCGAATGCAGTCCTTCAGGATAGTACCCTCGAGCAGCTCTGAATTGATGTCGGTCATGAGCTTCAATAAGGCCTGTGGATTTCGCGATCGATTAAGTTTCCGTGTTCATCATCCGCTGGATTGAATGACCCATGCGTGAATGCCACAAGGCACCTCAATATTACTTTAGGCATTTTGATGTCGATGAGTTTTACCTTAACCTGCTCGCTGAGCTTGGGATCATATTTCCACGATTTGAGCAGTCTCAAATATATTTGAAGGTGTTCCCTCAGTACGGTCTGCTGTCGTATGACTATCTCCAGTGCGATCAAGGATGTGAACAGGCGGGCCAGACTCAGGAAAATCACCTGATTCGACATTCCGTCCCCCATTACAGAGGAACAATTCTATCTTCGGAGACATTTTGTATGTTCGATCGCAAATCATCGGGAAGAGCAGCAGCTGTGAAATGTCTATCTTACTTGAGAAGTGGAGGCATCGTTCTGCGGGGCGAAGGAATAGAGACCCACCACCTGCGCAGTTAGACAAATAATTTAGATCGAGAACACAAGACCCCCGAGATCTGCATAGAATCTCCTCCACATTCGTTTCTGGATCTCGAGATATTACCTGACTGACCGCAAGCTGTATGACGTCCGCACACCGAGAGACATGGGCTTGTAATCTACGCAGTGAGGGGACGAATTTCGAGATCTGCGGGGAGAAAATCGGAGTGGAGTGAGTCCCAGTGCCATTCGAGGACAGAGCTCAATTTCCAGAAGGTTTCAGAGCTGACTTCGCGGATATTTCAATCAGAACAGAACTGGGAAGAACTCACCTGCACCTCGGGTGCCTCATTTGATTCCCCGTAATCGTGGATTTGTTTCACAAAGCAACTTTGCTCGATCAAGGCATCCGCTTCCAAACAAATGCTGGATATCGACAGGATAATTTTATCGAACGCAGGCGATCCAGTTTTGACCAACAAGACGGGGTTCACGCCATCTCGAGGCTTTTGAACGAAACTGTTGACCTGTGAAATTTTTGGGGAATCGGGATAAGTTCTCACTAAGGATGGATATTTTGTGGAGCAGCCGATGCGGATTCTATGGTCGATCTGTATGTACCTGAGGACGATTGCGGCTTGATCCTTCCCCGATAGTCTCCTCTAGATGACAGCAGTGACGGCGGACCACCTGGCCGAAGCGACGGAGCTCTCGAAGTGCGAAATCCTGAGAGAGTCGTCAGGAACATCAAATTTCTCCGCAGTCTCATTGGGGTATAACCTCTGGGTTGGCTTTCAGAGTAAGCAAACCACGAAACCACTTGTTGTTCGAAGACGTCCTACCTTGCAGATTTCGCTGTCGTCGTCGATGTCCATATCGAAGCGCATTCAATCAGGGAATCGAAAGACTAGAATAAACTGTCAACTCCTCGTAGCGGGGCATCAAAGAAATCGTGATGGAGACTTGACTTCGGCAGAGCTCATCTCAACTTTTCGAATCTCTGTTCCGCGGACTGACGGGTCGTCTGTCAGGCAGAATACACGCCTCTCCGGGATCAGCTGTGTCGGCAGTCGGCTCTTTGACTCACCATTGTTTACACTCGTGCAGCCAACGACACGCTCGCGCGCGAAAGGCGCGCGCAACGGGGACTCGCCCGTGAGCATGGCCCGAATCGATGAATCGAAGTCTAGAATGGTACCCCTGAGGACCGTCGGCTGGAACTCAATCTTTCTGGAGCGTCATGGAATTCTCAAATTTTTCCCCGAGGCTGTACTTATCGGATATTAGCCCCTGCTCACTCAGAGGTGAACAGAAAATTCCAACACACGTGAGGAATGCGAACTCTGGTTGGCACCTCTCGGCAGGCATCTGCGCGTAGGTCATATACTCAGGGCTAGATATGGATCCCGGTCAAGGATCTCATGATTCAAGATGTTCCGATCATACACGGAGATCGCGATGATCTCTCTGTCATTCAGATCATTCTCTGTCCGGAAGAGATGGGAATGACACTCTGTCTTCGAAATTCTGACTTCACGGAGTCCAGGAGCAGCGTGCAGGCCTCTCCACTACCAAATCTGGGTGAAAGAATTCGGCGGTCGAGCCAATGGGCGCTCACCGTTCGAGTGAGTCGCGGTCAGCTATGTGGACTGCCATTGGGGGCTTCAGCTTGGAGTTACGACCCGAATGTATCTCAGGGACTCGCCCGAAATAGCATTCCTAGTCAAGCCACGAGTCGCAATCGAAAATGAATTTACTCCCCCTGCGCATCTCAGTCCCAGAGTCTTTCTCGACGTCGAAGACAAACTCACGGCAGCGAGGAGACTCGACGGTAGAGAAACCGGGTCACTCTCCGGTCATGGATGGATCCCCCATAGAAATTGGTTGATATCGCGGCTTCGACGCAAATCCTCGCTAACTCTCGGTAAGTTCTTCTGTTCTATCCGAATCGAAACCCATCCCCCCCTCCCCGCGAGTTTCGAGCTGCGTCCACTCGCGGTATACATGGCAAGCACGCGTCGAGTTAATCTGCCGAAGCGGAACGAATCAGCACGAAGAATATCTTATTCATATCACGGACTTGGATGAGAGCGATCGCATGCACCACTCTTAGTCGCCTCACCGTAATTCGATTCTTGTACATAAGGAATCAATATTGAACAAAATGTTCCTCAGTGAGGGGAGAGATGTGTAATGCTAGATAGAATACGCTGCGGAGCCAGAGTCAATGAGCTTCTTGCTGTCGACACGTTGACCATCTTCGCTGCTCTCCAATTCGTCCCTGAATTTCGTTCCCCAGAGGATCTGGTGCGTTTCTCTCCTTAACCGTCTTGTCTAAGTCTCTCCGAGGTATAATCTGGCCCCCCGCCGTCATGCAAAAGTATCGGCACCCTTAACCGAGAAGCTGAGCCCTGCTCTGGGAATCTCATTCCTATTGTTCATGATTCGTGCATGCTCCCGATTCAGCTCTTCTCCGGAGATGAAAGCGGCCAATCAGAAACCAACCAACGGATCCGGACGGGCGGCGAGCGGACGGAAGGTTGATTCAGGAAATGTGTTGTCTCGAGTGAGTCTCACTACCGAAAAAGCGTTGAAGGACTCCGCGAAAATTATCGGAGAAATTCAGACAGAGCTCCGAGAAATTGAATCATTGGAAGAAAACTTCAACAAGGAGATCGGAGGATTCGAGAAGGAGGAGGAGGAGGATTGCGAGGAACCCAGTGACCTTCGTGAGCTTGTGGAAATGCACAAGCATCTCGATGATGCAGGCGAAATATTCCCTAAGAAGAGCGTTGTCCTGAACTCGGAACGCTTGGAGTCGGAGTCGGATTCGCCAGACAGCCCGAGGAAAGAAATCCCATCATGGATATTCGGGGACAACAGGAAGTTTGCTGCGTCTGAGACCCTTCAAGATCGCCGCGGTCAATTCCAACTTTGATTATCTGCCCCTGAAGCTCTGCAGGCTCGTATCCTTGCAGTGAGTATCAAGATATCGCCCTCGATGGATAGTGATCGGAAATCCTTACGAATGAGAGCCGATCATGATCCATCTTCATTGTCCCCTTGTGAGTAAATCTAATATTTGTTTGCATGCTCGGACTCATTTTGTGCGGCTTAGGAAATGCTCCGGAAGGGCACACTCCTATTCGAGTCCGATTATTGGAAAAAGAGGGATCGCAATTTTACACTCTGAGTGATTTTCAGGCAATCAGAGTCAGATTGTAGCCTCGGGCCCACGAATCGGGTTTGTTCTCTTTGAACATGACTCGTCTGCGGAGAGTCGAAAATATTTGTCGATCTCCGGCTCCAAGATTGAGGATGAGTCGGCTGGAAAGGTAACCTGCTCCCCTCTCCGATCCTGGGCGGAATCTATTTTGAACGAATGCTCAAACAGTTCGGAAATACATGCCCTCGAGGAATGAGGAGCAATCACGGAATAGTTCATGTCCAATTGGCGGAGTATCGAGTGGATCAGGATCGTAGGTCCGCGGAGTCTTTGGCATGAGCTGCGAGCTTCAAACGGAAGAGATTCCTTCGAGACGATTCCTCGACCTATACCCTCATTCGTTCGCGGCCGACTCGAACCATTCCAGGTGAGAGTGAATTTGCATTGCCGAACCCATTTTCGAACTCGGACGAGCGCTCGAATCAAAGAGTAGGGAACGAGCTCGCAGCCTTCCATAAAGTTAATTCATAAATGTATTCAGAAGATGGAACAAGAATCGACCAGAATATCGACAGCTCCTAAGCGGTGGGATAGGCGGCGGCAGAGGCTATGCCACAATTATTCCCCTTGTTCCTGGCCATTCGCACGTACCCTTGTTCCCCGAACGAGGTACCCCAGGAGTTCTTCACGAGCCAATAATCTTCTCCGCCATCACTGCCATAGCCAACCACCAATACCGCGTGATCGAGATTTGAGCTTGAGCAACTCGGCTCGTAGTACACGCCTTCACGGTAGTTTTGGAAGCTCGGATTACTAACGTCAATGGCCACAGAGATCGGTCCGATCGTCGATACAGCTTTCTGTAAGTCGGCTTCGCTTCCCTTCGGAATCGTCTGATACCCGGAAACAGTGGCTCCGATCGAGTCCTCTCGGAATCGACAAGATCCATCGAACGCCTCGTACGGATATGAATCTTCGGTGTTGATCCCCCCATTGTCCTTGATGTACTGGAAAGCCTGGGGAGCGTGCAGAGATAAGGGAGGTCAGGTATTGTCTGGTTTCCTTGGAGCGGAATTCGTCTCTCTGGATTTCCTTCCCGTTAATCTCTCGAGAATAGGAAGTATCGATCTCGCGCGGATGCCTACCTGTTCAAAGAAGCCTCCATCGCAGCCCTTCGATTCTTTCACGCAGTCCACGAGATTCTGTTCTGAGAGCGATTCAAGTCTCCCAGTCGCCTTGAAGTGCTGACCCTCGACGGCTCCGGTGGCGGAGAAAGCCCAGCAGGATCCGCAATTTCCTTGATTCTTCACAGGGGTGACGTAACCTTGCTGCCTCCAATCGATAGCCTCGGAGAGATCGCTGCTCTCGATCGCATCGAAGACTTCCTCATGAGGGCCGCCGGTCGTCATCGAGACGTTGATGTTCAAGCATCTCATGGCTCTCATTTCCTCCGGTGTCGAGTCGGTGAAACGGGACAGTCCCATTCGGTACGAAACCCGCTTGAGATCATGCAGAAGATTGTGGCCATTGATCATAGCCACATTTTTCTCGAAGATCCGTCGTCTCATCGAATCTTCAGCGACGCCATAATTTTTGTTCTGAACGCGTTTGTAGAGATCCCAGTCGGCATGACTGAATTTCAGAAGAACAACTAGAGCCGCGACACAAAGCATTGTCTGTAATAGAATTCACCGAGAAAACCATTAATGTCATGAGTATCGGGCTCCTGGTCTCACTGAGAGCTCGGGGCTCGCAACAAGATCCTCAAGGGTCGATCTGCGTACCTTGAGACACGGGATCATCCACTTGGTACTCGAAATCCTGGTACCGAAGAGCCCTCACTCGCACGAAAGATTCGTTCTTTGTAGATCGCCTCGCTTCTGGATCGCCTGAAAGCAACTCAGGGCTGGCTCGGAAATCAAAGGCATATAATTTCAAGATTAAGATATCGATCTAACGAAAGTGAGGGATTCATGATACAGATCTTACCATAATGAATTTTGTGCGTTTTGCTCTTGACTTATTCGAACCTCTGTTCTAATCTATTACACGCAGTCTAATTGACGCAAAGCGCGCTCATGTTCAGGCAGAAGACTCTCGGGGCGATTCGCGCCCTCGTACATCACAAAAAGCATGAACGAATCGTTCTGACAGGAGCGGATTCATGACTCAGCTGATTTATTAGGTAATTCGACTGATTCGTCGGTACATCTCCGATACAATATATCAAACGATGGGATAGGCGGCGCCGGTGGCGATACCGCAATTGTTGTTCCTGTTTCTCGCCATTTTGATGTAGCCCTGCAATCCGTACGAAGCGCCCCAAGAGTTCTTGACGAGCCAATAATCTTCGCCGTTTTCAGTGCCATAGCCGACGACCAAGACCGCATGGCTGAGATGTTCCGTACACTCGGGCTCGTAATAAATACCGCCGGTGTAGTGTTGGAAACCGGGATGGCCGCTGTCTATGCCGACTGAGATGGGGCCGATGGTCGCAACAGCTTCCTGGAGCTCGGCTTCATTTCCGGCAGAAATCGCTTGGTACCCGGAGACAGTGGCCGCGACCGAGTCTTGTCGGAAGCGACAAGTTCCGCCCGATGCTTCGTACGGGTACGATTCTTCTGCGTCGATACCTCCGCTGTTCTTGAGGTAGTCGAAAGCCTGGAACGAGAAGACACTCAGGGAGGTTCTCTGCCGCTTGCCCTTCAGCAAGAAATATGTAAATACCCCCGGATCATTCATGGCGAGCGAAATCTGATCTCAATGAACTTCACCTCAACGAATAGACCACCCGAACAGCCGTTGCTCGTCGCAGTTTTAACGCAGTCGAGAATATTCTGCTCGGAGAGCGAAACAAGGTTCCCGGTCGCCTTGAAATGTTGGCCCTCAATCGCTCCGGTGGCAGCAAAGGTCCAGCAAGCTCCGCATTTTCCTTGATCCTTGACGGGAGTCACGTAACCCTGCTGGGTCCAGTCGACGGCTTCGGGGAGATCTTGTCTCTGAAGGGTACCCAGAGTAGACTTCCGCGAGGTTTTGTTGGGCAAAGTGAAGTTCAAACATTTCAGAGCCTGAACTTCCGCCGGTGTCGCGTCGGTCAAACGAGACAATCCCATGCGGTACGAGACCTGCTTGAGATCATGGAGGAGATTGTGAGCATTGATCATGGCGACATTTTTCTCGAAGATTCGACGTCTCATCGATTCTTCCTCAACGTCGTAGCTTTTGCCATGGATGCGTTTGTAGAGCTCCCAATCAGCATAGGTGAACTTCAAGACGATAACCAGGGTGGCGAGACGAAGAATCATCTGAAAATTTAGGTTCAACTAGTGATAGACTCTTCGAAAAGAGAATGGACGATCCACAAGCCAGCGACACTCGGACCGTCGGACTTGATGGGCATACTTCGGAAGACGGAATGTTACAATTCTGATCACCGGTCGCGATTGAAACAACCACTGATTGGGAAGCAACTCCGCGGCCCCTTATACCATGATTTACATACAGGTCGTCGCCTTGGTTAGTCTCTCGGTGATCCTAGATAAGATCGTCGACTCTCTCCGAGCATGACCATTTTGACAATAATCCCTGAATTTGTTGAAGCTCTGTATGGCGAATCGGGGAGGTTTCGGTCGACCTTACTCGATGTTTTCTCTTTGAAGCGCTGCAGTTTATCGATTCATCGATAAGCATATTTGATTCTCAAGGTGTGGAGTAGGAGGGCTCAAATTACTCTACTCTTCCGGCATTCGAACATGATTTAGGAGCGCCTCCGACCGACTGTCAGTCATGAGCGGCATCCGGACTCCGGAACACACAGCTCCGGAGCAGAGCACGAGAAAGTTTTTCCGGAGCTGCCTTTGTCCCGGGAGAGCCCATTCTGTTCCACGGAATCGATGACTCCAAAGAGTTGGGTTTGGACATTATTCCAAGATAGCCACAGGACCCGAATAAGGAAATGCTTCGTAGATGTAGCGGTGGGTGTGGAAGCTCCTTTGTGCTGCATTCGCGGGTGGAACATGACATGCACGATCGCCGGATGGCCGGAATCCCCCCCCCAAACCAGACAAGTTGAAGAAGACTCCTGGAAACCTCATTTTTGAGTATGGGCCTCCTGGCTCGAATGTACCTCGTTCCCGGTCTCCACGTCGGAGTTGCCCCGGAGGAGACTCTTCTCAGCCCCTGGAAAGGATCGGTCGACTTCCCCTCGAACTTCCAACCCTCTGATAATGGTGTCCTGGGCTGTAATGGGGCCTAGACTCGTTACGGGAAACTGTGCTCACTCATGGGTCACGACTCTCCTGCTCCTCGGGTTCGGATTCCGGAGCGGATAAGGCCCACGACCTTGACGACATGGACATGGAAGGGTCGAGAAGAGATTTCGGCGCTCATCTCTTGGGCGTGAAAGTTCCATCGTCCTTGCTGAGCTTAAGGCTCCAAGATATTATATCGAGGAGACCGGTCCGGAGGCACACGAGCTATTTTTGACAATAGGGATTCATCTCGATGTCCCGTTTCAGAGTGCGACCCCTCGAAGCTCTCATAGATTCTCCGATCTGCCGGACGAAAACATGCTCTAAGGCAGAGGTTCCCAAACTGGGTTCCGCGGAACCCTGGGGCTTCCGTCGCTCTTTTCCGGGGGCTCCGTGAAAAAATCTTTGCGGAACCCCAGTGTTCCGTGGGCTGCTCTTTGCGCAACTCGGGGTTCCGCGACGAGGTTTTGCTTCCATATGTACGGTCATATACAGGCCCTAGGTGTCGTAGCCCTGTGGGGAACTTCTTTTCCTGATTCCAAATGTCTTCCTCAATCCCGAAGGGGATCGTTCTAATTGGCGCATCGATCGGCAACGAATGCACACTGCGAAGGTCGTTGCACAAGGCACGTTCCCACTAGATGAGCATTCCTAATTTACGCAAGAATTGACTCAAGCAATAAACATTCGGGTCTGGTCCGGAACAAACGAGTGGTTTTCCCTCTAATAGCTGAAAGGAAGGAGCAATTGACAGGACTTTGAATTTTTTGGAAAATGAGGAAGGGTTCCACGGAACACTAGGGGTTCCGCGAAGGGTTCCGCGGAAGAAAAAGTTTGGGAACCTCTGCTCTAAGGAATTCGGATCATTCCGGACTTAGTTTATTATGTCACTGGAAAAGCGCGCTCATCCGTCCATACTAAGCTATGGGATAACCGGCTTCGCTGGCAATGCCACAATTATTGCCTTTGTTCCTCGCCATTTTGATGTAACCCTGCTCTCCGAACGAGGTGCCCCAAGAATTCTTGACTAACCAATAATCTCCGCCCGCCTCAGTGCCGTATCCGACGACCAGAACGGCGTGATTCCGCGATGAAGATGAACATTCGGCGTCGTAGTATACACCACTGCTGTAGTGACGAAAAGTGTCAATGACGTCTATGGTGACAGAGATGGGTCCGATGCTGGCAACCGCTTTCAGCAAAGCTTCTTCGTCCCCAGAGGCGACCGAGTCGCGCCCGGACACGGTTGCCCCAATCGAATCTGCCGTGAAACGACAGCTCCCAGCTGTGGCCTCGTATCCGTACGATGATTCTGTGGCGATTCCTCCATTGCTCCTGATATACTCGAAGGACTGGAGGAATGAATAGACGAATAGAGGACGAATAGGAATGGATTAGGAGCCTCGCTAGCTCGCGGAGTTCCGTAAGGTCAGATTCGGCAAGATCTTTTCTCACTCGGGACTATGCTTACCTCATAGAAATAACCACCCTCACAGCCATCCGAAGATCGATCACAGTCTACGAGATTCTGCTCCGAGAGTGAAACGAGCTGTCCGGTTTTCTTGAAGTATTGACCCTCGACGGCGCCGGTGGCTGCGAAGGCCCAACAAGATCCGCATTTTCCTTGGTCCTTGACGGGGGTGACGTACCCGTTCTGCCTCCAGTCGACAGCTTCGGAGAGTTCGGTGATGTCGATCGTATCGAATGAGTTTCCATTTGACTTGCCAGTCGATGTGGAGTCGCTTATATTCAAGCATGTCAGAGATCGAATTTCCTCTGGGGTCGCGTCGGTAAAACGCGACAATCCCATTCGGTAGGAGACCTGGCCGAGATCATGTAGGAGATTGTGGGCATTGATCATGGCCACATTTCGTTCGAAGATTCGACGTCTAACCGAATCTTCTCCGGCCGCGTATCTCTTGTCATGAACGCTTTTATAAAGTTTCCAATCAGCAAGTGCAACCTTCAGGAGAAGCGCCAGAATCGCGATGCGTAGAATCTTCTGAAATGCAAAGCACGAGCTGGAGGCTCAAAGAGGGGGAATCAGGGTCACCATTGTCATGACAGCTGCACTCGTGCAAGTATGATACTGGGAACGGCTTTGCGCACCTTGCTTCTCGGCATCATCTTCCGGATCTTTGAATCCGTCACAGGATCTTTGAGTCCGACACAAGAGTCGCGTTCGCGGGCAGAGTTCACCAGCACTCATTCCAGACACGATTTATAGCCGGACGGTCGGTCCGCTGCTCAGGGCTCCATCTTGGAAATTTGGAGGCGAAAAATTTGCATAAACCGATTACTGCCTTGTAGGGGCTCTAATAAGAGATTGTGCTCTCTGATCCCTGGAACCTGTATCGCGACATCTCAATAACCCGACTCAATTGAATCGACGAGGGTCGCTCGTTTCCTGATATCGCTTCCGTTATTTCGACCTATACGACGAGTTTTCACTGTCGGTAATCAATCGTGGATGGTACATGGAAGCCATTAGCCCACGAGGGTTTCGATCGATGTCAGTGAAGATTTGCGGCACGAATGGGTGAATCTTTCTCGGTTCGCAAATCTTCGATAGGAGCGTGATGG